GTTCCTCCCACACCACGCCACTGTGACAGCGCCGCTCACAGACCTTACCGGCAACGCAGAATTTGCCTGGACCCACACTCATGACCAAGCCTTTACCAACATCAAGGATTTGATTAAAAACGCCAACGTTATTCAACCTATCGACTATAGTAAACCAGAACCGATATGGTTGATTACTGATGCATCGGATGTTGGAGTTGGAGCATGGGTTGGGCAAGGGGCCTCCCATGAAACGGCAAGGCCGGCGGCATTACACAGCAGAAAGTTCACCAACTCACAGATGAACTATGGAACAACAGACAAGGAAGCCCTTGCTGTGATTGATGCTCTCGCCGCTTTCAATCACATCCTGATAGGCAATACCTTCACTATTGTTACCGACCACCAACCGCTCACTAATCTTAAAACAGAAAAGATACCGGGAAGAAGAAGAACAAGATGGATAGGCGAGATCAGCAAATACGATGCAAAAATCATCTATACCCCTGGAAGAACGAACTATTTAGCTGATGCTCTCTCCCGCCTATACGAGAATCAAGACCTTGCAAACCCTCCCCTTGTTCACGACCACACAAGACAAAGCGAGGACAGCCCTGACGACACCTCCTATGAACAAGAACCGTCAATGGCTACCGCCAGCTCTGCCGCTCCCTCCAATCCTTTCTCTTACACCATGTACAGTGCTGCCGGAACAGAACGAGGAAAGGACATTGATGAAGAATGGAAAGACAATTGCACGCTCCGCAGCACACCTCCTCACGAACTTGAACAAAGCAGAACCCACTGGTCCCACTGTTATCATGACACCTGCCCTTTTCACCAAACTGAGATCAAGTTCGGCAACAGATACCAGCGACCGTACTATATGCCTGCTGATGATTCCAAAGACACCAGCTTCGATACCGCAGAAGGAGAAGAAGAAAGGATCGATGGAAATGAGCCAACCCAACACCCTCATGTCCTTAATCCTGCTCCAACGCGATACCAAGGCCTTGAAGAACTCGAACAAGCAGCAGCCTACGTGGATGCAATGTCGTATTTACAACCCCCACAGTCAGCCCCGCCATCCTCTCCTCCCATGATCGATTCACGACCACTATATGGTGGACCCTTACGAGTATACAATAATGAAACCATTGTCTCGGTCATACCCCCTACTATTCCCGAGCATCGGCGTCAACTCTACGAAACCTTTGAGGAACAGGAAGCCCCTATCAAACCAACAAGAGGATCCCTAATCGAGGATGAACGAGATGTTAGATCAACCACAGAAGAATTAACCTCCTCTTTCCGAAGCCAAATGATAGCAGGATATCGCCATGACCCGATTTACTTCAAAGCCATGGATGCCTCCAGGCATGGAGACCTCGCCCCCTACAACATATCCAATGGAATGGTCTTTACCAGCACCCGTTATGGAGAACATTGCCTATACGTACCAAAAGGCCATATGTTCAACGGAATGACGATTAGAGAATATGTCATATCCGAGATTCACAACAAAGGACACCATAGTGCAGATCGCAACCTCCAATATGCCTCAGAATATGTCTACTGGCCTGAAATGCGAAAGGACTTCCGCGATTTTGTCAGGCAATGCGAACTCTGCCAGGCAAATAAGGAGCGAACACAACTTCCTGAAGGGAAAGCTCAGACCCTCCAACTACCATGTGAAATATTTGAATCCTATGCCATCGATTTCGCAGGACCATTCAACAAGTCCGCCGGATATGACACCATATTGGTAGCTGTGGATCGATTCTCTGGATACACCTGGTTAATACCAATGAAGGTTACCGACTCCTCCAAAGACACCTGGAATAACCTACAACGACACTTATTTACCCCCCACGGGTTCCCCTTATCTATTGTCAGTGATGCTGATCCCCGCTTTACCGCCAGATTCTGGAAGCAAACCTTAACCTCTCTCGGAATAAACCACATTATGGCTGCCCCAGGACACCATGAGACTAATGGCCAAGCAGAACGAAAAATCCGCGAGGTCAAGACCGGGATTAGGAACATGATCAATGAACGACAAACCAACTGGGAACCAGCCCTATTTGAACTAGCCACATATATCAATGCCGGATTTTCAGATACCCTGGGAATGTCACCATATAAGGCAGTCTTTGGCCGCCAATACCCTCTCCTACCTACAACTCTATTCAAGAACTCCTCAGTCCCTGCCTCCGATGACCATCTAAACCGCCACCAAGCAATTCGGAACGATGCCTTCTAAGCTGTTAAGGCTGCCCGATTCCGAAGCACCACTACTGCCCAGAAACGACGTCGCAAACATGTTCCCATCTCACCAGGAGACATGCTCATGGTACACGGTAACATGTTTATTACCAATGTCGGACGCAGCAAGAAACTACAACCCCGATGGCGAGGACCCTTCAAAGTCATATCCTTTGACGAGCATACAGAGAATTACACTGTCCAGATGGATGGACGCATGTACCGCCGCAATACTGCAGTCTTCCACGCCTCAGCTGTCAAACGATTCCATCCCAATGACAACTCCAAGTTTCCTGGAAGGACCCACTCTCGGCCTGCACCTATCATCATCGAGAAGAAGGATGAATGGGAAGTTGAAGAAATCAGAGACCACCGCCTTTGGCATGGAAATGATCAATTCCTAGTCAAATGGAAAGGATATCCGACAAGCGAAAACAGTTGGGAACCACTGGAAGGACTTGAGCACGCTATGGATATGGTGAACGGATGGTGGAAAGACAACATGCCAAATGAATCCCTCCCCCCAACAATCAATTATATCACCATGTGCTGGACACCTACAATGCCAGAAACTGAGCGATGGCAAGCAGAACTCGAAACTAGAGATGGATTTTGGGCACCACACTTTGAGTCAGAGTTCGAAAGTAGCGATGAGGAGAATCAAGCTATGGAGCAGGCTCTCGACAACTTTATCTAGTCACCAATCACCATCCGAATACCATAACGATGTCAAACTATGTGGAGCTCAATGTGAGGCAGCGACAACAGGTTGTTGGACTGTTGTTGAACCGCGATGCTATCCAACTTGAAGACTACTTCGAAATCCTCTGGGTTGACTACTGTCCTGATTGTGATCATGCTTGGATTGACGTACAGCACGAATCTGGTATTCGTGACTACTGTGATTTAGATTTCTTTGAGTCTAAGTGTTTCCTTAGAGTTTCCTCTTGTCCTTGGTGTGATACCTATGATGAAGAGTTTTTGGCGGAAACTGAAGCCATGAGTTTCTCGGAATCCACCTTTGATGATTATTAGGTTTTGTTCGTTTAAAACAGTTGTTTTGTTTTGGGGAATGTAACCGGTACGGGTACTTGGTTATTGGTTTGTTTTAAGTATCGCTTTGATACTTAGTTTGTTTTAAGTATCGTTTGATACTTGGTTTTGTTTTATGTTTTGTTTTAAGTATCACTTTGATACTTGGTTTGTTTTAAGTATCGTTTGATACTTGGTTTTGTTTTATGTTTTGTTTTAAGTATCGCTTTGATACTTAAAGAGTTTTACCAAAGAGTATCAATTGATACCCTTGATTAGTTTCGTTCATGCTAGACATGAACAGATTTGTGTATTTAAAGACCGCCTGTTTCTACGATAGAAAAGGCAGACTTCGACAGACAGTATTTCAATATACTTGGTTGAACGGTTACTTCTTTGTTCCTCAGTACGCCCTCGAAGCCTCCTTTAGTTCTCAGCTCTCGCCTCCTCTCTGGAAGAGCAGGCCACCTGCCAACTATCGTATCCATTATCGATAACGTGATTAGCACCTTGCGAACACGTTACATTGATTATGAAGTGATTGAATTTTTACTTTCAAATCATATCATTGCTTTCTGCCTACCAGTGTACAGCTACCGTCGAACCCAGCCACTCGATGTTGGGGTTTTTTCTTCTCTCAGTTCTGCTTATAAAAATGAGGTATCCAAACAAAAGCAGGTGGTAAAAAAGAAGTCTTTCCCTCATCTCTTGAGTCTGGCACGACAGAAAGGATGCACACCCCAGAATGCAAGGGCAGGATTCAGGAAATGTGGTCTTGTACCATTTAATCCCTCTCAAGTGCTTGAGCTTTGTTGTCCTTTATGTGAGCCAACACCTTCGCCTGATGCTACCGGTTTAAATTACTCTTATTCTACTGAAGACTCGCAAATGCCCCACCAACCTGAACAGGATTTACTTCAATTTTCCTGCTCACCACCTACCACTCCACACCATCAGGAATCTCTCTAGTGAGAGGCTATTGACCTTACAACAATAAGCCCACGCTCTTACAAACTAAGAACTGCCCTAACAGCATTCTGTACTGTACTCAATATACAGACAGCTACCATGAGAATTGCTGAGGAGGGAGAACGTCTCCTGCAAGAGTCAATCCTCACCGAGAAGCAACAGACAGCCACCAATTGCCGCAGAGTTCCTCAGGCAGATGGAACACTGAAAAAAAGTGGAAACTCTAATACTGTTGGAGCTCAGGTTCTAGAGCAGGGAAATATTCTTGTAAAACGAAAGAAACAGCGGGATGAGGAGGAAGAGGAGAAAAAAGTAAAAAAAACAGCGGGCTCGGGTACAGCAACCTGCTCCTACCTCTAGGCATATTGAACAGGCACATGGGGATTTTCGAAGTTGGGTTTGAAATTTGTCTTTTGGTTTTCTTGGGCATTTTTATATTTTTGTATAAAAAAACTCCACATCTTGTCATCTCAAGTAAATCCTCTGCGTAAATGCTCAGAGTGTAATTGGGGATGTTTTCCTTAAAATCCAACCTGGAAGGGTTGATAGGTATTCTGCGCGCCCAGTGTCCCGACATACCTGCCGAAGCGACATACCCCCCGTTGCGACTCTAGAAGGTTATACCAGTATCATATACAAAAATCCAAAAGGTTGTGGCGAACCTGTATGGGGCACTGACTATCCCCTCAGGCACATTACTTATGCCAATAACTAACCTAAAGAGGTAGTGCGGGTATGTTACTCGAGCATGATACCTCTATCAGAATATCCCCAGCCATAAACCACACATAACATGACCAAAAATTACAGCATCCATCTCAATGAGCCACTCCAATCAACCCATCAACCAAACAAAAACTTCCCAACCCCCCTCCCCAACTCCCATCCATAACACAAGGGATATACAAGCTGATACAGTATTATAATTGTCGATCTTCTACCCCCCCGCCCCCGCCCTCACCCCCCAAACCAAAACCTGCCCCCCCTGGACCTGAATATCCCACCCCTCCTGAATCAGCATTTTACTAACTGCGGGCAGAAGCCTCGGTTTCCCGCCCTTCGAGTGTCTTCCACGCCCCGTAACAATACACAGCGCCATTGCCCCTCCCTTACGTCTCCGCTCTCTGTCGTTACTTTCCCTAACCCACCACTGAGTCGTGCGTTCCCGCGAAATATTCACCGCTTGCTTCACCGTAGTGCCGTGTAAATCTAGTGTATCTTCGCTGGAATTCTGGTTTACTAATACCTCAGCGGCGATGTCGCTGTATTCTCGTACTTTGTTGTTGTATTCGTGTCCCTGCTCGCTGTAGACTGCTGCTGCGCCGGACATTAAGCGGTCGGATTTGGACCTTTGGTGTGCAGCGGTGGCTTTGGCAAAGGCTTCATTGCGCGCGATTGCATAGGATGATGGGTGGATTAAGGGCGAGGTGGGGGATCTGGGGATGTTGGTGCGTGCGGACATAGGCGGACGGTGGAGGTTGGTGCCGATTACTGTCCAGTCGGCGTCGGCTGTTGGTGTCATTTGGTGGGAGGCTGTTTTTGAAGGGGAAGAGGGAGATACGGATGCGGATGTGGAGGAAAGGGTTGGAGAGGATGCTGGGGAAAAGTGTTTGGGGGGAGTGCTGCGGGAGAGAATCTCGGCGAGTTGGAATAGGGCAGTTTTATTCTCTCCGCAGAGCGACAAGAGTTTGCTCAGGTGATCTGTTTTCACAGTTGCCCCGAATTCCGCCACCAAATCGTGGAGCCCATCAAGATGTGTTGCATTCTGTGAGCCACCAGCACCATACTTGTCCAATAGAGCGGCAATGGTAGGACCCATCGACCCACTATGGCCATGGTAAGCAGAGAGCACCTTCCCCCGTTCTAGGCCTAAGCATCCCGCCAGATAATCCACTTCCCGAGACATTGTTTCCCAACGGGACTCTGCAGCATTGCTACTCGGCGAGTTCTCATCCAATACTAAATTTGCCCTCCTTCCTCCTCCCCCCTCCCCCTCCCCCTTCCTACGCCGCCCTTTACGTTTCCCTTTCTTTCCACCCGAATTCAATCCCAGCTCCCTATCAAACGCATCGACCCCCCTTATTCTCCCCTCGTCCTCGTCGGCGTCCAAAAAAACGCGATTCAGGAGCTCATCTGTTGCGTGATCCACGTCGCCCTGAGCACTGCTGAGTACTCGCTTGATCGTGTACATGCCCAATTCCGGAAACATCTTCTGTAAAGAGTCGATCTTGTCCGATGGGTTCTCGTCATCGTTCTCCTCCGTCTGCCAGGTCTGGTCGGTTTCTGACGACCACTCACAAAGCTCGGGACAGGAGTCGAGACCCGGAAGCGCGCCATCGTCAAGGATGGTCTGCGACTTCAATATATCGAGTGTTTGGCGGGCGTTGCTTAGGTCGTTGGTATCGTTAAGTATTGCTGCGATTAGGGCGGAGTCGAGGGTGGGGAATTCGGCCTGTTGATAATCACAATTAGCATTTTATAGGGAGGAATTCGGGGCTGGGATGGAAAGGAAGAAGGTACTTCGAGAAGGCCGAGAGGTTCTATTTCTACATTGTTCATTTCGCTGGTCATCTTTGCTGATTACGAAAAGCGGGGTTCTGGAAAATGGCATGGAGGATTGTGTGAGGTATATTTTGGATGATGATCGTAATCGTAGCTCGAGCAATTGATTTACTCTCACGACGAAACTCGGGCGAAAAGGAAGGGAAAGTGGGGGGGAAGTTTGTTTCCACTCGCAATTTAAAAGAAAGGCTGTCTGCACGGTGTGTGTGTGTGTTTGTGCGGGTACTGGTACAATATTGTTGTTGCTTGCCCGTCCAGGGTTAAGGGGGAGGGTTATGAGTACCTGTATGTACGAGTACAAATTTTCGAGTGTTTTTCAACAAATTTATCGAAGTATGATACCGGTGCTTGTGTGGAGGGGAAAAAAGGGAAATAGGTAGAAGGAAAGGGAGGAGAAGCTGGGGGCAGAAGTTGAGGTTCTTAAGAGGACCCGCTCGCTGGTTTTGATGGGAGATCACGTGTTTGACGCATGATGCGATGGCATCAGTTGAATGGTGGATGAGTCTTAAGAACCGGTACTAGCATTCGAAATACTATACCTTGGAGAAAGGGCGAGAGGAGGAGCTGGCATTTGGTCACTTTGGTTGAGGTTGATCATTCGGCCAACGTTGTATTTGTGATTTCTACAGCCTAACTTGTTGGGGGATGGGAGGTTTAGGGTACCAGCACCGCATTTGGAGTTTAAAAATAACGGGTGCATACTCGTGACGGGTGACGTTCGCGAATACAACCGTGACGGGTATTGCACACAACCCATATCCGAGCAGAAAGAATCAAAATTTGGCGGTATGCAATATGGTAGCGGTTGTGTCCACAGATGTCAACCCACTGCCAGTATAGGCAAAAAGGATATGTATAGAAACCTTGGGATTATATGTTAAAGAAGACTGAGTCAAGGCGTTCGGTAGGCCTACTTTATCCTTACCAGCCTGATGCCGACTGTGGGCCCCCGGGAGCCGTTTTCTCCATGTGTGGTCATCCGAGTATCAAATCGAGGTGATGCGGATATGCGCCATACGCCGATTATTTGCACCAAGTGATAAGGTAGCACGTTTCGCTGATATTCAATCGATTATTGTTACCAATGGGAGAGGATTAACAACTACTCTGCGCCGCATTTCATGGGTAGTCGTAAAAACCCTTCCCAGATTTCTTCCCTAACCACCCTGCATCAACCATCTTCTGTAACAAGACCGCGGGACGGTACTTTGAATCAGCCGTATCCTCGTGCAAGACTTTCATGATGGCCAGACAAGTATCCAGCCCGATAAAGTCGGCCAACTGCAGTGGCCCCATAGGAACATTGGTCCCATTCTTCATGATATTATCGATATCCTCTCTCCCACCTATCCCCGTCTCGAGGCAGATCACAGCCTCATTGATATACGGCATCAGTATACGGTTTGCCAGGAATCCTGGCGAGTCTTTACTCGTGCTTGGGATTTTCCCCATGGCCTTTACAAAGCTGAGGGCACGGGTGAGGGTTTCAGGAGAGGTTTGTAAGCCCGTGATGATTTCGACACCTTTCTGAACAGGTACTGGGTTCATAAAGTGTGTGCTCAGAACCCGGTGCTCGGCCCCCCTCGCTGCTGCTGCGATTTTGGTTATGCTGATACTTGAGGTGTTTGTCGCGAGGATTGCGTTTGAAGGTGTGATCTCTGCTAGCTTGGAAAATATATTCGTTTTCAGTGAGGGGATTTCCTACTTTATGTTAATCCAAATTATATATATATGTGTGTGTGGTTTGGGGAGATGCTCGCACAGGCACAGCTTCGATAACGAAATCGGATTCTGAGAGAGATGAGAGCTGCGTAGACGTGGTAACGCGATCCTTGATTTTTTGGGCATCATCACTGGCCAAACGGCCCTTGTCGACACTCTTCTGCAGCAACGTTTCTACCGCCAAAGTTAGCCTTGGTAAACGAAACATCACTATCAATATATATAAATGGCTAACCCATGAAGGTTATAGACTTATGGATAGACTCCGGCGAGTTATCCACTAACGTTACCGGAACTCGAGCATCCTGAGCAGCTACGAGGGCTATTCCGAGTCCCTGGAAGCCCCAGAATTAACGATCTTTCACCCCCCCCCCCCTTAAACATACTAACATTGAAATTCCCAACGTACCATCTGTCCGGCACCAATAACTCCTAACCTATTGACATTGTGTTCGCCCACTACAGCTGAAACGGAGAACTGCCGGCAGAGTGGCTCGCGGAGGGTCCTCGAAACTGTGGAACGGAGCATTTTTTGTGGTCCTTTTCTTCTCCTTTTTTCTTTTCTCTTCCACCGATGTGTGGAGATATTCAGGGGAGGAAAAATTATGAGATGCAAAGAGGAGAAAATACGGGAGTTGGTTCCAAGAGTAGCGACGTCGGAAGATATTGTGGGGTGGTGAGGAGGATCGGGGGATCACATGGAAATTGACATGAAACAACCCGGCTCAGCGGTGTAGAGAGCCTCACGAAACGAGGATAACCGAGGAAAGCCGAAGGCAGGTTCACGGATCAACTCGAGATGATGACTTTCGCATTTCTATCCTTGATAAAGCTCTTTTGTTGTTTCAACTTGACGTGATCTAGATCGAAAATATGCTCTTCTTCTCCTGATATGAGCCCATCATGGTCTAGACAAGGGGGATGTTTTGGCCCGCCGCGATTACGATCCCAAATTGCATGTTAAAAGCTAAAATTACGATAAGTCTTGATATGCAATTCCGAATCCTTGCCGGAAGCCCGAACATATCTGATTCCATTATGACGGTGATTAAAGCTATCTTTTTTACTCGTACAGCTACGAGTTCGGTCAAAGCCTCAATTAAAAACTCAAATAATGCCTTTCTCCCACCGGTACCTAACCTACCCCACCATGGACCACTAAAACAGGGGAAAACTTTTATGCAACTCCCGTCCGTGTGTAAGATTTCTGAGAGATGGCTAACACGCTGTTTCAGTATTCTGGGTGATACCGGTATGCGCAGGTACGGCAAAACCGGTAGCTTTGCCAGACCTTTTTCCACCTGTGAAGGAAAAAAAGAAAGAAAAAAGAAAAAAAGCCAAGATTGGGCCATTCGTCTTGTTACACTCACCGAAATCTGACTACCGTAACGGTACTCGTACTTGTAGTAAAAAGTTTGGATCGCTTCACTTACCGATACCGGTACGAGCAGTGACCCCTGGTACATACTCGAGCACAGCATATATTGTACGGTGCCGGTAAGTGCTCGCCCAAAATCCCTCCTGTGCCGGAGTAACTGTGCTTTTACATCCGCTTCATCTTCAGCTTTAAGCTGCCTCTTAAGCCATCGTGCGGTCACAACGAACCCAGCCTCTCCGCTCCACCACGAGCCTTGGGCCCCTCCTCCACCGCCGTTTCACCTGGACAGTAGCTTTACCGTAGACTACCGGTGCACCGGTAGTCTGCTGAGCTTCGAGTTTCCAATTGCCGCAAACTGAGAAGTGAGGGTTGTGGTGGCAATCATGTGCAAAGTGCGGCCGATAGAATGTAGATATATATATATATGTAAGGTATCGGACCGGGAATCAACTGCGGAAATTTCCACCTCCGGGTTTGGCTCAAAAAAGGGGCCATCTAGTCTATGTATGATAGCATAATTGTCTTCCCTGTTGTTTATTTTTTTCTTCTTCTTCTTTTAAAGTTGCATTTTAACTTATGGTAACTGGTTCACTTCCCCGCTTTTTCCCCCCATCCAATTATAATATACGTTATCCGTCATGTGAAACCTGATCAGATCAGAGAGAAATTTTAATTGAGCCTTCTTGTCCTGTCTCGTTGATGTGTCTGCCCAGGTGATACCGGCAAGGCACGTCCGATAGGAACCGTGCCATGGAGGGGGTGGCAAGCTTCAAATCCTCACAGCCACGTGATAAGTGTGAGGTTGGAGGGGGGGGGGGTGCCAACTCATAAATTTATCATAGGGCTTTGCTAAATCTACTCGGATGATAGGATATCGGTATGATACTCGAGTATATCCTTGGAATGAGGAAAAGCTTCGTCGCGACTAAACCATTAGGGGATTAGACTATACTACCCGATAATTTGTGCCGGGAACGATGAAGGGTAGACTATCGTAGCGGGAAAACAAAAAACCTCCCCTCCGAGGAGATATGATACTTGTACTATACTAACAAGAGTAAAAAAAAATTTTACTCAACTTTTTGAAAAAGCTGACTCATCCGTGGGTGGGGATGCCTATGGTTCTCGCTATGATACATACAAGTACAGTAAATTTATGATACCTACTGTACCTACCCTATCATTCTCGGCACCCTATCAAGCCGGTTGTTGTCTGTTGTTGTTGGTTGTTGTTTTGCAAGTCTGCAGTCTGTGGACTTGTGAGTTACTCGGGTACATACTGCCTTGCAACAACATCAAGTATGATAATATTATGATATTAATAGGCCTCCAAAATTTTGGGGATATTTTGTTGTACCTTGCGTGGGCAACCTGTACCGTAGGTTACTCTGTTAGATATTCTATGATATTCCAATGCGCTGCTCGAGTACCGGTACTCCGTTTACTGTAACATCCACCTTTTTCTCGTGCAGCTTCTACAGCTATAATGCATATAGTACCGGTACTTGGGCGATCGTATGCGTGGGGGAGGGGGGGGGGCGTTTATTTTCACCGGCTCCGATTGACCCAAGCCAGGTCGAGGTCATTATAACAACAGCCACCACCCTCGATTTGATCTTTTTTCTTTTCTTTTCCTATCTTACTTTCTTTCCACTTCCCACTTCCCGCTTTCCATCTTTATGAATCTTACAGTTCGATACATACAATTCACTTCTTTTCATTAGTTATATACCATTCCCAATTGATTGAAAAGAAATCCGCCCCATGTCCCTCTCAGAAATCCCGACCGAGCTGATGCTCATAATATCCGGCTACCTCTGCCCCACGGACCTCAATTCCCTCCTGCGCACTTGCAGCTCCCTTCACGAGACCCTGACAATCCCGCTCTACCGCCTCGCGTGCGAGCCAGAGTACGAAAAGGCGGCGCTCTACTCCTCCGCCGCGGTCGGGAACCGCACCCTCGTCTCCCTGATCTTCCGACGGAATCCCGAACTGACCATATTCGACGAGGACACCGAGTGCCCGATCCCTAGCTCCACTCCGGTCGAGAAGAAGATCGAGCTGGCGCTCTACCTGGGCGTGGACCTGATCCTGCACTACCCGGACAAGCACAAGTACCTGGACGGCGACGGGGTCTTCTACGCCGTGGCCACCGACCGCCCGGCACTGCTGAAGCAGCTCCTCTCCTACCATGCCGACCCGTCGTGCGTTACGCCGAGCGGGCAGACTCCGCTGCACCTGGCCGTGATAAACCGGAACCCCAGGGCGGCTAAACTCCTCCTCCAGTACTCCGCCAATCCGGACGAGAAGGAGTTTGAGAACCCAGACCTGCTGTGCTCCACCTCCCCTCGGGGATCCACCGCCCTCCACAGGGCTGTCAGCAATAATGACGTGGAGATGGTGAGGATACTACTGGAGGGAGGGGCGAGCACTGAGGTGCGCAACATGTTTGGGAAAACGCCCTGGTTCTTGGCGGTGCAGATCGGCGTGGAGATTGTGAGCGTGCTGCTGGATGCGGGAGCCGATATGAGCGCCAAGGATGACATAGGTTACACCTTTTGGGATTATCCAATGTCGAACAAGGTTATGCAGATGCTGGATGACCTCTACCCATCTGAGGGTGGGGAGAGGGCACGCAAATCGAGGACTCGTATGGAGAAGCTGTCAATGCACGATTATATATGATATGGGGCCGCATGATTTTGGGTCGATTTTATCCAGGGAGGGAAGGAAGGAAGGAAGGAAGGAAGGAAGGAGTAGGTGGGGCTGGTTTGGGAGAGGGGGAATTTTGAAAGGGTTTTTTTTTCTTCCCACCCTATTTCATCAACTTGTTATTATCAGTAGTTATGATGGTAGTAATAGCGGTATTCCTACGACTAGCCTTTTCCATAATGATTTTTAATATTTTCACCATCATGTGCCCTACGAGTAAATGGAAGGAGAGAATCACCAAAGGTCACTCGATGTGATGATTCCTTTGATGGGGGTGGGAAAGGAGGAGCTCGTGACTCCTAAGCCTTGTGCGCAATGCCCTGAACGGGGACCATCGGTACGTCAGGTATGGACACTGTTAGCGCTTCTATACTATTGTTATGCGCATCATAATAATGCATTTGTAAATATAGGTGTCTTCCATTCCGGCTGTGACCAGCCTCGAATCTGGTTTCTCTATACATACTCTATTGTCCGGGGACAAAATTAACTAGCTCTCAACGGCAATGGCAACGCTCCCCTCCTCATCACCCCGCTCCCTCAACACTTCTTAAAGAAATTGCTCTACACCAACCAAAACCAAACCAATTTACTTAAATTTTTTTTTCAATAAACTATGCCTCCTATTCTTCTGTTAGGCGGAGACAACTTGATAGACTTCAAGATTGTCTAGGCCAATCAAGATTCGTTTTTGTAGACGGAGATTGTCTAGGAAGGCTTGGACTTGGCTCGTTTCGTTTATGATTACTAGGAGCGAAGTAAAGTAGGTAAAGTAGGGTAGAATCATAAAAACAATATTATATTGTTAAGGTCTCTTCTCCGTTGCTTGATGATGTCTAAAGCTTGAGAGGCACTTCGATATTTATATTCCGCGTCTGAGTATTCATGGACTACATCTATCTATCATACAACTATATACTTCTTCAATCATAATTCGAAACGTCGAGTTTTCTTCCAAGATGCGAACACCTGTGGACTTTGAAAACCATCACACCCTCTTTGGTAATTACGATATTTCTTCTTAGGAAACGTACTGTCTCCAATAGTAATATACCGATTAGCAGAGTCTTTAGACTTATAGCCTAGTTCTTAAGTCGAACTGAGTTGGCTCCAATTGTCTTTGCCATTGATAAAATGATCAGTTTTATCCACGGCTATATCTGCAAAGGTGGTCATTATTACAACCATCGTAGGTCGCCTGACTCCGATCCTTTGTAACTCCATACCCAACCGATAGATTTTCTCTGGATGACTTCCTATTAACTCACAGGAAGCTATTCCACCAGATTGGTAATTAATCCCTTGGTCGGCAATCCTTGGTTGCTTTCTGGGTAGTAGGTTTCAGTAACTATCGTAGTATCGGGAATCACCCCATGACTACGATGTATTCCGAAACCCAGTTGCAACACTCCGTGAAGTTCGTTGGCTTCTTTGGTAGTGTCTTTTTGGAGTTCTAGACTCTTCTGGTAGATGTAAATGTATTGGTCTCTTGTAGAGATCCTTTACCATTTGATACCATCTCTTTGTGCGAAACTGTCCTGTTACTTACAGCCCATACCAAAGGTATCATGTCTTTGGAACCAAGTAACTCTCTGAGTAGTTGACGAAATCACTCCGTTCTACTTCCCAGACCTAGCCGAAGATCCCCTCTCATATAACCTGCGAACAGGATCCAGTCAGATGGACGGCGGCGACGTATACAGTGTTATTCAGACACCTTCAATTCTGTGGTAATATAGTCACAGGACGCAACTGAGATTAATATATATGATGATGTGCGGGCCCCGTAAGGGAGCCGGAGGGGGGTGTTGGAGACCAGAGATTCCGATTCTAAGTAGGGTTACCCTACTTAGGGTGGTTCCTAGGTATCGGATTCTGGTATTCCTAACATCTTCGCAGTCATGCCAACCAGCCTATTCCCTCCAAGCACCTTTCTGAGTTTACAAGGGGACAAATTCTCAGGTTACACGAGTCTCAGATGACAAATCACCAAATTTCCCACTACCTTGACATTCCTCTCAGTACTGTTAAAAGCACATTTGCAAAGAGAGATCAAGAGGGCAAGGAGAATGAAGGTAGAGGAAGACATCCTAAAACTACCAAGTTGCAGTATGATGCTATGGTAGAGGAAGCTCTCAAAAATCACCATACCAGCTACTCTGAGATTGCTGAGAGAGTGGCTCCCAATGTTTCTGCTAAGACTGTGAAGAGAAGACTTGTACAAAAGCTTCTTAAAAAGTGGATGGAACAAGAAAGGGTTAATTTAGATGAGGATCTAGCTCAAAAGACATTGGAATGGGCATTAGCCCATAGGAATTGGACAAGGCAGATGTGGAGAAGGAAGGCAATGTGGGGGGATGAGGTAGCTGTAGAGAGGGGAGGAGGAAAGAGAAGAAAATGGGTATTTAGATACCCAAAAGAAAAGTGGAATAAGGATTGTGTTGAACCTACTGCTAGGAAAGGAGAGAGAAAGATTAGTCAGATGATGACTGGTTGTTTCTATGGTCAAACTCATGGTCTTTTTTTACCTGTTTTTCCTGATCCTACTTCTGCTGGAGGTGGAGTGACTGGAAAGTCAATTATTGATGTTTATGATCAATATGACTTTCCAGGGATATGGGAGGATATCAAGGAGCATGTTGGAGAGGAAGAGGTATTTTTGATCATTGACAATGCTAAGACTCACTTGCCTTTCAGGAGATGGCTCAGGAGAAATAGAATTTCTCTGATGGAAATTTCTCCCTATTCACCAGACCTCAATCCAATTGAAAATGTTTGGTCTCTGGTGAAAGACAAGCTTCATAAGCACTATCCTGAGCTGTTTCTCCTGAAGGGCCCTGTCAATGAGATCAAAAAAATTATAGAGGAGGCGATCACTCATTGTTGGGAACTTCTGGACCCAAAGGTTTTTGATACTTTGGCAGGATCAATGGTGGATAGGGTGGAAGCAATTATTAAGGCTGATGGATGGTATACTAAATATTAATATCTACTATGTATTTATATTTTTTAATTTTCTTTTGGGTTTTCATGATAGTGGGTTGGTGGGGGAGTGTGGTTGTCATCACCGAAGATTTTCCGGCCGTTGACAGCTAGTTAATTTTGTCCCCGGACAATACTGGAGATATCCTCCCTTGGCGATCAATTTATCAATTGTCTCTCATAACCTCGGCCCTCTGACCGAGATTTTTTTTCCTCCCTCCCCACCGGTATATATCCCTGTCGAAAAGGAAAAAGAAAAATGTGTCGCTCCAAGCCGTGGGATTTCCACTCGTTTATGCGGTCCATCTGCCGTTTTTTTCTTTCTTCCTTGACGGGTCGAAGTGGGAAGGATGCGGTGGGTTGTGATGGGTACTTGTCCTTTTACTCGTATGATACCGGGTTTTTTTCTTCCTTCCTTCCTTTCTTCTTCCTCTCGAGCACTGGGGTAGATGGTCTAATGATTTTACCATTTTTTGGATTTTTGTTGTTGTGTGTCGTAATTGTTTTTCCAAGTCAGGTGTTGGCGAATGACTTTTTTTAAAATCGTGGCTTGGAAAATGATTGCTTCGACAAGATCTGATTTGGGTGGGGGTGGGGGTGGGGTGGGCATGATGATATCGGTCCCGGGATAAGGTATCACGGATTTGTCAGTTTGGTTACGGAACTCGTCGCATAAGATGGGTATGGGAATTTCCAATGATGACACTCAGAATTGTAAAACTATCATAATCAAGATAAGCAATCGGGATCGACCAATCGATTCCATTAGTTAGGTTTTTTTGGCAAAAAACGAGTTTGGCTTTCACATGTAATCTATTTTGATGAACCCGAATGGTTGTTTTCGGGTCGTAATCCGATTCCTCGGGAAACGGAGTGAGCTATCTACGTACCTAAAATTCTGGTCGAGAAAGGAAGGAAGGAAAAGAGCCTTTAAATTATCCATCCTCTCTCTCTCTCTCTCCGCGGAGACACTTGAAACTTTGTTTTTGCTGGTGAACAGGCACGGGGTCCTTGATTGACATGTTCTGATGTGTTAGATTTTGAGCATGGTGAGGGTATGATAAAGAATGTACGGTACCGAAACGGGGGCGCTTGGGTAGGGGGGTAAAAGCCAGGAACATCATTATATAATACAACTCAAACTGACGATTCGGTGTACAGTATCCGTACTAGCAACCTTCCGTTTTCCGTCCCAGTGGTATGCAGATCCTTCGGGGGCTTTCTCTGCCGGTACTGTAGCTGGATATACATTTCCCTTTCCTGTCCTGGACCCTTGCTGCCTGGGGTTCTAGGGACTGGGAAAGCATGCTGATAGTACCCGAATAAGGTGTTATTGATATTATCTATCTATTACTTCATCGAGCTCATGTTTCTGTAAGCACAAGTACTCTACTGAGGCTGGATTAGGTCTCCTGTTGATCCCAACCGAGCCAGGTTACCTCTTCGGGGATGTCGGATTTGGCTCCCGGTAGTGTCATCTGGCGCTTTTTTCCTTGGGCGTGCACAGGTAATAATTCGTATGGAGGGGCCACTTGAAATTTGGTAAAAAAGTAGGTGCCAAATGACCCCAAATACGTCATATACAAACCCATGCTCAACGATCGACGACTGCCCCGCCTTCTTGGGAATCGAGTAACTTATTATCCTTGATAGTATCTAGTCTATATCTCCCACGTATAAATTTAAGTGAGAAGATCTGGACACGCCGTGTTGGGTTACCTAGAATAGTCCAGGACATGTGGTTTGGTGATAGGCGGTCATAGGACATGGGTTTTGGTGGCGTTTGGTGTGTGACGGGTAGGCACACAATATAAGATCATCGCTTTCACGTCCTGTGCTGCTGGGAATAGGATATGGGTTTGTGGTTTTGATGATACCTATTGTCATGCATTCGGCATCGGGTATTTGGCTTCGCCATGTTCCTTTTCAGACTATTTGGTATATGGTAGTTGGCATAGGGCATAGGCGTCAGGGATCACGGAGGATCAAGAGATATCAGGATGGTTCCGGATTGTTTGAGATCACAGTGGGTCGTGGTTTGTCTGGGTGGTGTTTTTTTTTGGAGCTCCTTGAGCTCCGGGAGTTCGTTATACGGAGATATATACTATATATCTCCCACTGTGTCATTAATAGCTAGCGTCACTAAGGCTCGTCTCATCGGTCGACCTTCTTCCTCTAAGTTTTCCTCATTCACGGTGATCTTGGTCTTGTAGCTGCGTTTCTGGTTTGTTTCTTCAGCCCAGTAGCCCTGCAGTCGGTATTATACTCGTAGTAGCTAGGGCGTACCGTACTGTGTAGTTATGATGCCGTTGCATGTGGCAGTCTTGCCCACCGCTGTGCCGAGTGACAATGTGCTCATTACTATTAGAAATTGTGGATTTATGGTAGAAGATTAAGTTATGGTTGGTGCTGATAGCTCCGGGAGTCAGGTAGATCGTTGAGGAAGTGTGATGGATTGTCCTGGAGCTTTAGCTATTTACGGAGAAGATTATCCAGGCATGTTTTTCCTTTGTTATCACGGAAGTGTGTGGAGGAATGGGGACATGCGTGGGGAAACAGATACGGTATGTGTGGTGATCCATGGCAGAATCAGGATGCTCTGATTACCTTTAGTCTTAGCTAGGGAAGGGGGAGGATTGGGAGTAGAAGAGAAAAAAGTTGCGTACCATATCTCCCCATCTCTCCTATGCAGTTTCCAAGCTCCAAGAAACTCCTTGTACTCGCACTATATCACTGACCGCTGAGCTGTGATATCCCTCCCACCTTAATCCACCCTAGGGCCTGTTTGGATATAATTGTTCCGTTACGTTGCCCGTATAGAGTGAGGGTTTCAAAACGGAGGAACGAATGTTCCCACAGAAAAAAATGCAGTCGTGGATGCCAAACAAGCCCTTAATAATTACCACTTGCGGGAGGCTAGCCAAAATAAGTCGTGAAACAAAAGAAAAACTTCAATACAGTGAGAAACCCACACCTTGGCATTTTTAACAATACTTGTAATATCGCACGAGATATGGGCTTATTGGATAAGATAATTTCGGCCACTTTTTGTGTTTGAAATGGGAAATGACCAGGCTGGAGCTTACACGGAGTCGGGAAAAAGGGGGTTTAAAGGGCACAAGAGTAGTCGTATTAGGAGAACTGTTCGATAAGGTGAAATGAGATAAGAGGTAAAAGCGCGGAAAAGGAGGAAAGTATAAAGAAGGAAATTTTCACTGCTGGCGCATTCAACTGATGTGTGCTGGTGCGTACGTACTCGTGCCGATATTTCCAACATTTTGCTTCTTTAGCTCCCCGAGTGACTCAACATGATTCTCCGTTCATTTGCTGGCACTGATCCGCGGAGAGAGTTGCGTCTGCTATAGGAAAGCTAGTCATTCGAACTCTTCAAATTGCGTTAATCACCGGTGGTATTGTTTCTCAGAGGGCAGATTTTGGTGGTAACCACCTTCGGTCCGTCATTGGGAAATGGCTGGAGCACTATGAAGAATAAAATGTATCAACATTTGTTTGCATCTACATTTTGTGCTCGAGTACCGGCAGTCTATTTTAATTTACAGTCGGGTTGGTGGGCTGGGTTTTAGAGCCTACTCCCGACCCCAGCCCCTCCTCTATAATTTTCGCTACTTCCCACATTGTCTCTTCATCCCCGTACTGCGCCATGACCTGTATTCCTACAGGATCGTTCTCTCCATGCATAACAGGTAGGCAGATTGCCGGAATACCAGCTAAGCTCGCAGGAACCGTTAATACATCATTCACGTATGAGTCTAATGCTGATTTCTGCATCTTGACATCTTCCAGAAATGGCGCCTTTGATAGAGAGCATGGGGCGATAAGCACATCCACGCCTTCTTTCCCGCGGCCTTCCTCCAGGTTATCTGTTATAAGGTAATTTGGTTGAGCAAATGCATTACTGAAGTCACGTTGTATGATTCGACGGGCAGACTGTGCTTTAAGGAAGTAATTGTCGATGGCTTCGGAGGAGAGTGAATACGCCCCGGCAATTATTCGCCTACGGACTTCTGCGCCAAAATTTGCGCGGGTAGGTGAAAAAAGAAGACCGTCCTGTGAGCGGTCGGCGGGGTCTCGATAACCGTAGCGGACTCCATCGTATTTGGCGAGATTAGAAGAGGCTTCAGCAGGAGCCAGGACATAGTATGCCGATAGCGCGTGCTTAGTATGAGGTAGAGATACAGGCGCAATTCTATGAGACTGCGAATTCAGGTGCGCTAATGTGTTTTCCCACGCATCACGAACGGGGTCGTCCAATTCTACAAGATTGAACTCCTATAAAGTATTGAGCCCTGTTCGAATACTGGATAGGGAGGGGTATACCTCGGGATATCCTATAGCTAGTCTCTGGCCCCTTCTTCGGCTGCGTGATAACCGGTCTTGGATCCGTTCTCTTGTTTGCGGTGTTATGCTGGTTGGGTCGTTGTCATCGTGGCCATTGATCGCATCTATAAACATGAGCCTTGTGAGACGGGAAGTGGGAAAACCATAAGATACCATATAGCTTTTGGACACTTGAGATATTTCGACCAAGTATCCCAACTGTGTCTAATGAGTTTGCATAAGCAACTACCCCCCACCTAGATAGCATTCCATACGAGGGTTTGAATCCAACAATTCCACAGTAAGCGGCTGGGAGACGGACTGAACCACCGGTGTCGGTCCCTAGAGCTCTACCAACACCAAACTTAGTGTTGCGCCTTAACCTCATTCAAGACTTAACCTACGCATAGCACATTCCCGTAGCAACAGCAACAGCACTGCCCCCGGAACTTCCACCAGCAGATCTGGCAGGTCGACCATCTTCGGCGGACTGCATCACGGGACCGAAGTGGGAATACATTGAATGAGACCTTGCCACTCAATGGTTAGAGCCAGGTTTGATATGAAGAGCCGGGGGCTTACCCCATACCGAATTCGTCCATGTTTGTTTTCCCCATTATCACCGCGCCGGCCTCCTTGGCCTTACGTACTACCGTAGCGTCGAATGGCGAAACGTATTCTATTCTCTACTTTAGCCAGTTTTTTCGGGCAGGGAATATGTCGACGATCGTTAACTTACGCTCCAACAGTTTCGAAGCACATGTCGTTGGAAAATCTGTTGTGCAAATGTTGTCTTTGACTGCAATTAATTGTCCATCGATAGAAGATTTGCTCTCTCCTGAATCTAAAAGGTTAATAGGGCGCAATCATTAAGGGAAACTAGGAAAATAACCTGCCGAGATGCGCTCTTGGGACGCTTGAACCTGACTGAGAAGCTCTGGTTGAGATTGTACTGAGATGAGGGAATTGAGGGCAAGGTATTTCTCGGCAGCAAGCAGGCTCTTTTTGGCTATTTCCAAGAGAGCCATTGCCGGAGAAGGGGCAGTCAAGAGAGCTCCTGGTAGATGACGGTGATAACAGTCGGAAGGGACCAGAGAAGCTTTACTAAGGAGCAAGTTAGGTTACCCGGCCCTGGAGCTGAGCTAAAATTTGAGCCGCAACCTTCCAGGCTGAACTTTTCCTATCAAGGGAATCTGATGTCCGAAATTTGTTTACCGCGATCCCGTTTCACGAGAAACAACAAACAAGATGTCCAAAAGAGCGGCAATGAGGTTTGTAAATTCCGTGAGTTTGCTAAAATCCCACTTTTCCCTTTTCTAAATTATTGATATAAATTTCAGGTCTGGAGCTCCTTCCATGCCAAAAGTGGACTTGAACCAACGTACTCATGACTCCCCCCATCCTATACTTAGTTAACCTTGGCCTATGCATCTATAGGTTACTATCGACTGTTTGTGAACTCCTATTCTAGATGCTCAGGGGGTGTTGTGCTAAGATAATGGCGCGATCACAGCTAAAGCTTATAAATGTCGAGCCCGGAAAGGTTGACTTTGAGCTTTTGATTGAGAAGATGCACACGGTTTGACTGCCCACTTGGCTCTATTAGACTATTTTCAATTAAAATTGACTACAGAGTAGAATAGATTGGGCACACTTCACGGCGGCGCCATTGCTTCAATGGGTAATCAAACAAACGTAAATATACTTTCGTCACGCTGATATTCCGGCAGTTGACCTGGGAGGCTCTTTGGCTGTAGCCTCCAAAGGATTGTTCTCCACAGGGGTATCAACAGACCTCAATGGTTTGTTTTTACCCATCACTACACCTCGAGGCATTAGTGACGCTCCGCAGTAACATACCTAAGTTCCGGAGGTGAAGTGGGGCATGTCATTCGAGGCGAGGCTACTTGTGATAAGTGTAGGCTCTAAAGCGACTTTGATGATGCCAGAGGTATAATGGCTAACGAGTTAAGTTGGGAAAACGCTTGCGTATACTACGGTGTTATTCCGCAACAAGGACGACCGGTTGGTAGCTAGAGGAAGCCATACTAAGTTTGTATATTCCTTTTCTCTTCTCTAGCTGTTTTCTAATTGTGGATCTGTCCAGATATGTAAAAATTGCACTTACTGACCCGCAGAACATCCTTGAGGAGTTGTCGCCTGAATTGAATAAAGACACCTCGGGGAGGGTGATGGGGTCCTAATGTATTATCTAGTGTGACACCAGCTCAAGCTACACATGCTTTTAGAATACATTTACCTATGCCCTTCTTCGAAAGTTGGGGCAATCTATTTACATTAGTCCTTTTCCCCGGTTACCTCACCTCCAAACCCAACCGGCCTTCTCCCTTTCCTCGCAGGGATCACTGCAAGAGCCTTATATATGGCGCCCATACCTCCTGCGTGTTCTCCAACAAGTCTATCATGACCCAACCTTAGGGCCTTCTCTTTTTCTTCATTTCCATCATCCCAACCATAGCTCGGTTCCTCCTTAAGTTCGCGTATCAGGAATTCAGTTCGCTCTTTGATACCCAGCATTCCCAGAAATGCTCTCTGCTTCACTGGCCCATGCACTTCCACCTTTTTAGAAGAGTTAATGGCCTTCTCTGCCAGCGCAGTAAAGTCCACATCTGCCGAAACGTCCACCTCCCCAGGCCGAGAAAACGGTGAGCAAATCTCGTGCTTTAGGATTCCACGAAGCGAATTAGCAGGTACAGTGTCAGAAGTTCCGTAATCCATAATTAGCGCAGCGCCGGCGCCCGCCTCGCCAATCCTTTGTGAAATCTTCTCCATGAGCCCTAACGACTCGGGTGAAATTTCTATTGTCGCATTCTTCAATTTCTCAAGATCCTTATACCTCTGGGACAAGGGCGGAAGCAATATAGAGTGGGGGGTAGGAGCATTAGCCAAGGCCAATGAAAATTCCGGAGTATTAGATCTAGTCTCTAATTCCGACACCCCGTCTTTGGTTATGAATTGGCCCTTTCCGGGAGAAGTATTTACTAGCATTTCCCGCCAGCCGTTGTCCGTATTTGTGAAAGCGTGAATTGGGAGAGCATCGAAGAACTCGTGAGCAATGATATAGGGAGTACGATCCTTGTCCCGAGGAATGAAACTGAAGTCCTCATACCAGATAATATCTGTCTTCGGTGACGCCTTGCTTTGGCAGGCAAACCCATTCTCAATTTGTCTCATTTTGGTTTTCGGTCCGCAGAGGAGAACCTTTTGAGCTTCACGGAGTGAGGAAGAAGCCTCGACGAGGTATATCGCCTCAACCGAATCAGCCATAGTTTTAAAAATTAGCACAACCTAATTCCACAATCAGTCCTACATCACTCACAACCACGGTGTAAAGGTCTAGGGGCTAAAGGCGTACTCTCCAGAGGTCGCTCATCAGCGTCCCCCTCCCGGGTCCTAGCTCAATAATCTGAATCTTCTCCCCCTGACGCCTTTGCCTCATCCATTCAGAAACAACCCATATCCCAATCAACTCCCCGAAGACCTGAGAGATCTCCGGACTTGTGATAAAGTCCCCCTTCCGGCCGAATTGGTCTCCGGTCCCGACCCCGCGCTCTGTGGTGTAGTACCCGCCAAGGTCGGATACGAGACATTGGCGCATGTACGCCGCGAGGGTGATTGGACCTGTCGCCTATGCATCGATCAGCACTATGCGAGGAGGTTCCTGGGGGCATGGTGATAGTGGGCAGACCTCTATCGCTTCAGCGAGGTAGCGTGCTAGCGGCGTTGAACAAGGTGGCTTGCCGGAGGCTTCTGGTGTTGGTGCTGCTGTATGAATTCTATGGCAACTGGTCACGGCGTTGTACGGGCACAGGCGGGGCTTCCGGGGGCCGAGGTGAGTCGCAAGAAGTTTCAATTGAGACGCTATTCGACACTTCATTGTTCAGCCGATTTCGATCTTACATATGGTTGGGGGTTTTGATCGATAAATCGGTATGATAGTTCGTTTTACTATACCTAGGCCGGAAAAACTCCGGTTTATCTAATCGGATCTAATCGGATCTTCTCAAACAACATCATCAATTATCACCAACCGACTCACTCCCACATACTGTTGAAACAGTGAGAACGGAATGATGGTTTTTGGAACTGGTTGAGTGACGAGAAGAATAATGAATTGCTTAATTGACTTCTCAGTAGAGAGCAAACTACCCAGACTATCTACTGTTGAGGGCGAGACACAAGTTGCGAGTAAATCAACAGTAGGAAGTAAACAGAAACAGAGAGAAGAAAAGAAAGGCAAGGAGGTATGTTCAATAGTACCAATATTGTAAGGGGGTTTTGAGATGGCGATCAAGACTAATGCAAGGAGAAAATCAATAGTGCGAGTGATACTACGGTAGTGCCAGAAGCATATTTCAACACATACCCATCAGATGACTGCAATACCTTTACCGGTACTTATTATGGAAAATTGGATGCGCGCGTCTGAGCGCCCATACTAAATCCGGACCTGAATGTCCTGGTGATTCACACTAGATAAGTTACTTGTGCTCGCAGATGCGGTCGATAGCCTCATCCATACTGCATTATCGCCGTCCGCTCCAGTGGTTAAGTTCATGCTTCCTGCATCTGGCGCTGGCATACGGCTTCCTCTATGGGATTCCAGTTTAAACTACATCGCGGCCCTCGTGCCACCCTGATTTCTCGGTCTGTGCCTTTCCTTGAAGTGGGAGATCCAGCTGATGCTTTTTGATACCTGCTTGTTCTGGAGATCTCGGAATTGTGCGGCTCTTAGGGAGACGGATGTATCCGGATATGTGTTACCCGTGTGATACTTGAGCTCGCATCTTGCTTCTCGATTGCCTGCAGTGAAACGGGGGGGGGGGTTGTAGGCAGATAGCTCGCCAGCAAGATTGCTTCATTTCGGCGCGAGGGGAAAGCGGTCCTGTACGGAGTGCACTGTACAAGTGGGGGGGACTGGTTGAAATATCGTGAAAACTGGAAGGATAACTGGCCTCGCGTTAGGAGTTTGGAGTTTCCTCTGCTAGTAAATTTGGGATCTTGTAGTTGTATACCGGTACTTGTACTGTGGTTTAGAGTTACGATCAAGTGTTTATTACCTTACGATACTGCAAACCGCACAGGGTTGGTGTAACTTAGCATGGGGTACTGTACGGTACATACTGGTATGCTCCCGCATCATTCGCGAGGAGATAAACCGGGAGGTATGATAGTTGATTAATCAAAAAAGAATGACCCCGTTTTGCTTAATAATCAAGCCTCGGCTCACTCTGGAGCCAGTTTTTCTTCTACTCGATTAGAAACCGTGATAAAGATTGTCCCTGGATTGACCTCTCCGCCAAATGTCATGAGAATCCCCTAAATCACAGAGACTATGATCCAGACGTCAATATCCCGTCAACCTATGAATTAGTCAATTGATTATGATACAACTACTTCGGCGCTTTGCTTCCCTAAGTGCTCTCACAAGTATACTCCCATCTTCACCCTCCGAAAAAAAAAAACTCTAGTCCATCCACTCTCCTAACAATTCCTCATGCGCAGAAATAACATCCACAATGACCACCCCACTACCGGCGACCGAGCCCCCCCTGACACTATACACCTCTATCGCCTCAATCCGACAATGGCGCCGCGAGCAAGCGAACCAGCGCAAGAGTGTAGCCATGATACCAACAATGGGCGCTCTGCACGCCGGGCACGCCTCGCTGATCCGTTCGGCAGCTCGGACCCACAACAGCCTAGTGATCAGCATATTCGTCAACCCCGCGCAGTTTGCTCCGCACGAGGACCTCTCGCGGTACCCGCGCACCCTGACCGCAGACATCAAGCAGCTGGAAGCTCTGAACGCAGAGTTATCCTCCCCGGGGTTCCCCTCGAAGGGGAGGATCGAAGCGCTGTTCGTGCCCTCGGTGCCAGAAATGTACCCTTCCGGCATACCCCTGCAACAGGAACTTCAGAAAGGAGCATTCGTGACCGTCACTCCGCTGTCCAGTCGCCTGGAGGGCATCACGCGCCCGCACTTTTTTCGTGGCGTGGCGACCGTCTGCATGAAGCTTTTTAATATCCTCCAGCCGGACGAGGCGTACTTTGGACAGAAGGATGTTCAGCAGACGGTTGTGCTTAGGCGGATGGTTGGCGACTTGCATGTTCCTACGAAGATCAGAGTCGAGGATACGATCAGAGAGGAAGACGGGCTGGCGATGAGCTCTAGGAATGTCTATCTTGGTGAGAAGAGGCGGGGCTTTGCGGTGTGCCTTTACAGGGCTCTTAAGGCTGCAGAGGAAGCATACCTTCAAGAAGTAGCGAAGGGGGCTGCAGTAATTCCGAGATGGGTTCTCACAGAACCTGCTGAGAAGATACTCGCAGAGGCCGGAAGTGATGAGGTTAGAACTGAGACCGAGTACTTTAGCGTTGCCTGTCCGAGGGAGTTGGAGGAATTGGAGCAGGTGGATGTTAATGTGGGCGCAGTATTAAGTGGTGCTGTCAGGATGTTAGCAGCACAGGAGGGCGAGGGCCCGGTTAGGATTATCGATAATATCATCTTGAAGGGTAAAGCAGAGACCGGAACACAACGAGAACAGGCATCGCAGGATCCGAGGACCGTAGTCGACGTTTAAAATAAATAAAAAGTTAATCAGATTCTAATGTATTTTTATTATTACCTAGAATTAAGTCATGGGGGGTCACTCGGTGAGCTCATAATCAGGCGGCAAACGGTGAGTTTGCGATTTCAACTCGTGGCACTCGACTTCAAAAGTCGGAGAGAATTCTCTGAGTGGGCTTGCCGCGTTTCTCTCACAGCAAAGCCTAAGTTACTCTTCTTAATCACCTTTAATCATGCTATGACCGCGCCTCTGAATGCCATGGGACCGTCATTAGCAATCAGCGATCGTTGCCCATAACTCCTCTTCTCGGGGGGATGTGTCAGCTCCCACCACCCTCTCAACGCTTAATAAAATAGTGCAAGTTATCCAACCTCACGGCGGAAAAAATCCGAATTCACAATGTCATGTAAGCAGGATAAGTATTTGTCCCCAAGGTATGGAATGCCTAGCTGGCGCAGTGGCTACTGGTGTCAAGAACCAATTAACCCCCGTGCAATTAGCAAGAGACCAGGAGTTCAATCTGGACCTTCGTTTTCTTCAATATGTATGGCTGTATGGCTGTAGGGCAAATTAGACCCGTTGCAGGGTGGTATCATATGATAGAGTCCGACTCTGGGCAGTACACCTAACAGTGAGGTCTGCGATCGGCGGGGTAGCAGAAGAGGAAAAGGGAAAGGAATAGCAACGGTAAGTGCTCAATGCTATATGCTCTACCGTACAGACTCTGTGTGGGTGGCCTTTTAGGATCAAACGATCCTTTCAAAGCTGAGACTTGGTATGAGATCTTCTTGAGAAGAGTACATACTTTAAAGGATAAGATCGGGTGTAATCAACACCACACTGGTACCCCTACACAGCGAGTACGGTAGACTGCCCCACTTTTAAATTTGCAACCAGAACGCTTCGTTGTTCCGGTATGATAGGTAATCTTTCACCCCAGCCAAAGTGAGTAGTGCCTCTACTTGGACCCCGGAGGTTTCAGAATCACAATTGCAAGCCAAGATTGATTAAAAACGTTGGCGGGATAGAAATTCTTTATGATACCTCCCTAAGCATGAAGCCGAGGAAGGTGATGATTACTGTGAACGTGGATCCAGGGTGAACAAAAGCAAGGAACATGAAGCGGCATTTCGTTTCAAGGCCTGGGGTTTTTTCTTTGCCTCCTTCTTTATGATACTTTTACTTCCCGATCGACCCCAAGTTTGCTCAACTCCCTTGAGATTTAGGTTTTATTTTCGCTGTTCCGGAGGGGGTTTTTTGTTCATGCAGAGCCCCACGTTGGGGCAAGTTGATTCAATAACAAAATAATCACAAGTTTCCTCTAGAACTTGCCTGAGCATTTCACCATTTTTAAAAGTGCCGCAGGGTTAGTAGCGACGTATGACGCTTGGAGAGAGGTATCGTAATTTGCGAGGACACACAATTCCCTGCCAATTCCGCCCCTCTGGGTACAGTACACTTCACTATAGTATGATATGATAGCAAGCATCAACCGGGGTTTATGGGCCGATCCGCTCTCACAAGAAATCACTCGTATTCCCCTTCTCCCCGACCAATTGTTGGATATCGCCGTACTGGTTTTGGCGTGTGGTGCCAAAGAAATTTCTATACACCGAATTATGGGGTCTGTGGGAGTTTTTATGCATTTTGGGTGGCCGTTCATCTCAAAGCAATCCCTCTACCGCTCGCACTCGTACCGGTACCGTACTCGTACACTTCTTGTCTCCCATTCACCCCACTTTCTGACACCGATCGCCCATCTCCAAGGATACCCGTGGAGCTCACTCGATGGTTGGGCATAACTCCTGGAATGAGGTGGTGACACAGAGGAAAATATGTTGGCAATCGCATCACCTGTGCGTTATAAGTTATACTTGTCAGGGCATAGGTATGTGTGACGGTCTTGGTCTACCCGGGTATAGTAGAATAGAGGACATCAAAATCCTTCAGTGTCCACATCCGAAAAGAAAAAGCCAAACTATTCTCACTACTGATATCACTATTCTAACTATTATCCCTCTATAATATTCCATCAAATTTTGGACATAAAAAATTTGAGGGACTGGACGGTGGGTAATTCGCTAAGTTACTCGTACATGTTATACGAACCCCGCCAGTTCGCCTCCCAGATTACCGGCTAAATATACTGTGGGGGCCATGACTGCTATGATACTGTAAATGGTTTCTACTCTCCATACACTGTCGCTGTCATGATACGTCACCTTGCCCTATTGTCATGACCTGTAAATTTAACAAAGGCCCCGTTCCATAGTACGAGTACGGTATCGTACTCGAGTGTTGGTAGCATGGGCGCGACCGGGCTTTCGGGCTGCGAGTACCGAGCTAATTCGTAGGATACAGTATAGGGCCGCGAGGCTAGACTAGACCTGGCCGAGGTACTTGTATGCTGATGCCCGCACGCTCCCGACTGTCTACTCGTAGATGGTTGGGAACGCTAGCAGCCCAGGCCTGGTTTAGCCTGACATACCCAGCCGGTTGAGAGGATTGCCCCGCCTGGGGGAACGGTACTCGTATTGCGAGAGTGGTATCCATCTGCACTGTCGAGATTTATACCTTCCTGCCTATATTATTCTCCACCTGCCTATTATCCATCCCGCGTTTCCGGGGCTCCACCGGGCGGAGGGTGAATTTCTCCCAACAAAACTGCAACTGAGGAGTCCGAATGATAGGGTGCTTGAACCTAGCGTGTCCTGTAAGGCCCTCAACGAGAGCAATTATGCTTTTTCACGGTAAACTTGGACTTGACCACTCATCAAGACAGAAGTGGGGATTGCCTGAGGTGGCCTGAAATACGGATAGTAAGAGTCCCGGCGCGGTTCCCACTGCATGTGGACTATCACAGCCCAAGAGATGTTCTCGGGCACACTTCCTTTTCATTTTTTCATCACTAGTAGTCACTCGGTTTGCGGTCTTGGTGTTGACTTATGTGGATGGATTAGGACAGTGGTGTTAATTTGTAGGATCTATCGAGTGATAATTTCGAAAGTATCATTACTGGCTTAGAATAGGGCGGTTTCGGTCACCAGATGCTCTCTCATGCTATTAATACGTTCGGATGTCGTGATGTTCGGTTGTCTTCGCTGCTCCCTGTTAGAATAACTCCGGAACTGGCCATTTCCTTGGTTTATCAAGTGAGCCACTTTGTTACAGTCACTCCTATCTCGTAGCGAAAAAGGAATTGGAACAGTAATCTGGGGGGATGCGGGCGATCCTCGGTTTAATCAGTGCTTGCATTGATTGGCGTAGTCGAAAGCGGTCCCCCATTCCATAAACCGCAATAGGAATGCTAGGATACAGAAAATTCAACCCCCCGAGGTCTCTAGTGAACCCGCCCCCACCATCCTCCCCTTCCCTTAACCGCCATAAAAGCCAACCCTCCAAATACCCTGCATCCAAACGCCCGCCAATCGTTGAAAAGCCCGATCGCGCGAGAGAGATTTGAACGAGGGGGGGACTGGCCTACTGGCGGGTTACTCGGCTTTCAAGCCTGTGGCGAACAACACTATCATCGGACATTGGGGGCTTCTGTTCGGGGGGTATTACGGGATGCTGTTTTCATGTGGTATCTCAACCTCAAATCTAAAATTTTTCTCGAATGACAGTTACCGTACTCGAAGCCTATTTCGTCTTTGTAACTTGTATTTTGACTACGGAAATTGGTCGTAGAGGGGGGCACGGGACGGAAATATATGGGTTCGAATACTGGGTGAGATAGAATCCACGGCATTCCACCAGCGTATACTGTAGCCAGGGCCTTTAACTTGTCCGTATCGATACCAATGTTGAAAATAATGGGGAATATTATGAAAGAGACATGGTCGATTACAAATAATTCTTGGCCAATCTCGGACTTCAAGGCAAAGCCCAGCTCACAATATAGAAAACCACATCCAAGGATCCCGATCACAAAGTCCTCTTCCATAGTTCATCCCTCTCCGCAGTTTGGGTAGATGACTAATCACACCTATCCTACTAATTTTGCCCTCCCCTATCCAGCACCAGCCAGTGGGGCCACCAACTGCTGCCTGAAAAATCAGCCTCCACTGACCTCTTATCTTCAAAAACTCCCCCTCCGCTCCATCAACCCCGCCACACCAAAATTCACGAAACAAAACAAAACAAAAAAAAAAAACCTCAAGTACCTATCGCATAGGAACACAAACGAAACGAAATGGGCTGGTTTTGGGCAGAGCAAGAAGAGAAACCCACTCCGAGGGTCAGGCCCGGGCCTCCCCCGAATCATCCTACGTCTAGATCTCCTCCGGTAACTCTTCTCCTCAAACCTCCGCTTTCTCATTTTCAAAATAGTGAAACTAATAAAGTATCCTACAGCCCTCATGCCCGATGCACAAATCCACACCATCAGACTTCTCCGGGGGTTCCAGCAGTGGCAGCGACGTCACCTCCAACAATGACATCAACCACCTAAACCTAATGTTCAGCAGCCTCCCGCAATCCCGCACCCCGGGGCAAAGGACCAATCTACCAACGGAGCGTGAGACCTCCAGCATCCCGCGTGGCGACTCCGGGCTATGGGAGTACCCATCCCCACAGCAGATGTACAATGCCATGCGCCGGAAGGGTTACGACGACACGCCCGAGGACGCGGTGGAGAGCATGGTCGCCGTACACAACTTCCTAAATGAGGGCGCTTGGGGCGAGATCGTGGTGTGGGAGAGGCGCTTTGGCGGTGGGGTGCTGAACGCCCTGTTGGATGCGCGCGAGGCGGATGAGGCCGCCGAGAGGGCGGGGGAGAGGGAGCGAGAGGGATTCCCGAGGTTGGTCAGGTTTCAGGGGAAGAGTCGGGAGATGACGCCTAAGGCCAGGATGTTCCAGGTGCTTGGGAGGGTTTACCCGGAAAAGTTTGGGTAGGTGATTAGTTTGATTGATCGGTTGGTTGAGATGTGTGGAGACCGAGTTAATGATTGTGCGTGTATTTCAGGGGACCTCCGCCGTTCGATAGGCATGATTGGTACGTACTTCGACAGGGCGGGAGAGAAGTTCGCTACGTTATCGATTATTACTCTGCGCCACCGGAGCCTACAGGTGAGCCGGTTTTCTACCTGGATGTTAGACCCGCCATTGATAGGCCGAGTGCTATCCTCGAGAGAGCTATGGTGTGGGGAGGAGATCTGTGGGAACGAGCTAGCGGAGCTGATGTCAGAAGGGCTGCGGCGGAGAAAGCTAAAAGGGACTCTTCCTGACGGGCTCGTTCATTCCTCAATTAATTAATTGACTTTGGGAGTTTTATTTTTGTTCTTTTTTGTGCTTCTCTCTTTCTTTCTTTTACTTATTTTGATATTTCTTCTGTCAATGGGTCTTTTATGCTTGACGAAACCCCTCCCCACTCCATTGAGTCTCACCTTTTCTCCATTCTTCCTGGGTTGTCCTTGCATCATTCACAAGTTCCTATTCCGAATACTTTTGGCCATCGCGTATCGGTGGGAATTACAGCTTTTTTAAGGCTCAATCACGGGATTTTTTATTTTTTTTCGCGCAGAGGAAAAAATAACATATCAACTCTCCATTCAATCAATACTGTTGGTGCTGCGTGCACTCAACAATTTACAAAATAATCCTCAAAATAAATACCATACATTAAATCTTGCTAAATCCTCTAAACCACGCCTGTCAGCCCATCACTACCTCCCACTCACAGGAGTTCACCATTGTGGACGCTAACACTAAGAAATGACCTATCCATCGAATTAGCCAATTCCATAACTTCTATGAAAAGAAAAAGGAAAGAAAAGAAAAAGACTTAACTCACCATATTATTTATTAGTCCTACTACTCCTATCCCCTTCCAGTTGCATCGGTCATAACGACCCCGCACTGATATCACAATTTTCAGAGGATTTCTCCTCGACAAAGGGTCAGCGCAGGGGGGGCACTGGCACAAGGTCCCCTTTGACCCTAATAGTCACCTGCACCAAGGATGGCCCCAAATCCCGTCTAACTTTGATACAGTCTCCCGAACTGGTACCAAGGCTGGCATATCAATGGTGCCTTTATACTGCTAATATTAGTCTATATTTGAAGTCGGGAAACTGGACTGGTCAAATACCTGACTTAATTGAAAGAAAAAGAAAAAGAAAAAAAACACCTCTTACTTGGAAGGGAAATGCTATTTTGGTCAGGATATTTACCAATCTTGTAGGGGTGGAATGAGTGGTGATCCACCCACCCACTGGGCGCCGTCCCTGATCTAGAGGGCCAGCTATGAATGCTGACCCTGCTAGATCAGGTGGCAAGCCCAATAAAGCGATCATAATAACTCCCATAGAGGCAGAGATGCATATGGAGGAGGGGACATATCCAAAGGAGGATATATTGTCCATGGGAAGGGGTTCAGAGATTATCGTCTATGATAGTGGTAGTGGATGAATGGTGGTGGATGAACAATGATGGATGGGGGAAGATATAGAATATGAGAATGGCAATTTATAGAATAATTTGTCCCTTATCAGGTGTTGATAAGGGTATTCAAGTTGCCTTGCCTCATTGGTGGCCCAAGTAGTTCCATCATAATAATAATATTATTATGGTCTTTAGGACCAGTGTTTTTTAGCGGCTCCATTGCGACTGTGCCTTAATATGGATGCTAGGGCCCTTCACTATCCAACCCGGACGGGTTCTGACTGGCGAGTGACCGAGCCCTTCAAAGGATTTAAAGACAAAAAACCAACTGCTTTGGTTTCCGGGTTATCGAACCACCGAACCAGACCCCACGACCTTGCCAGCAGAACATGGACTGACCAATCTCCCAAAACATAATAGGAACCACACCATGAAGCACCACGAAGCACCTCCATGTGCTCGGCTCACCCCCGTCCATTGAGGCGACCTGATAGTGGCTTGCGTACGGGTGTCAGCATCAGCCTTTCCGGCCTTAACTAGTGCGGGTGAACAAGAAGTACAAATGCGGCCGATAGATATATCCGTCACGTAAATTCTGATAAGAAAGATTTGGTGAACCCCCTGCGGTAGTGTGCACAGGAAAGCACATGACGGATATATCAATAGACCGCACTTGCACAACAAAAATCTTGCCCCGGATCGGGGTTATGGAAGAAAGGGAACCAACTGTGCGGAATACTGCAGTGGATAAACATTGCAGTAAATACTTGCCAGCGACTCGAAGGAGGCCAATTGCAGCTGATGGTTTCGCTTCCTTCCGTTAGTTCTGACGTTGGGGGTGGCTGGTGGCTATGAGCTATCAAAACGGAGCGCATAGGAAAGACAGAAAAATAGGCCACAACTCACAGGGAAACAATTGCCAAAAATTAGGATCCCTATTCGCCATCTGAGGAGTGGTACAAGTGTATCCTGGGGCAAATTCTCTGCTGTACTATCGTTCCCGCCCGCGGATCCTGGGTGCCGGCAGCAGCAGAAATGGGAAGGCAATGCTTACGGTTATTGATGCCATTGGCAGGCGGGTGGCTCGTGTGGTGTATAACCCAAGGGGAATCTCTCCAGGGGAGTTCGTACGGTACTCGTAGAGTATCCTTCTCCCCCACGTCCCTCCTGGTGGTACAGGAGGTCAGAGGTATGATACCAGTATTATAAGGCTCAGCGTCTCCTCCTCCGCCCTGTCGTGTCCGACACCAAAATAAACTTCCGGTCCAAATGCGGTAGCATTTAAGGACAAATACCGACGCATGATCCTTCTCAATAAACGCTAGCACAACCATCTCACAGCTTGGAAATGATCTCTCTGCAGGTAATATCCAACACCGTGACCACCACTCGACAGGTTGGGTGATTTTGATTCCGATTCTGGCATACCCAAGCATCATGAACCTAATTGGTAGAGACTCCGAGAGATAAAGCAACAGAAATCCCCACCACACCCACCTCGTCAACCTTTTTATTCAACAAAGATTTTCTCTTCTCTCCTCTCTTCTTTGCTTTTTTTTCCCCTCCGCAGAGATCGAACCTGACAACCAAAAATGCTCTTGCTGTCCTCGCAGTTCTTACTGCACACGATCGAGGCTCGATCATTGATTAAGGAATTGATGGTTGAGTCCCTTCCTCGAGATAAGTCAATTAATTTCGGGTAGAGAGTAAACGGACGTGATGCAATCACCATAGAACAACCACAACAATCACCAACACACGCTTCCATCATTCCGATGAACAACTCAAATATAGCTACACTTTCCTTGGCAAAATCAACCAGCCTTCGGCAGATCACTGGCACTTACAAAACAGTGCTACCATTCCTGCACGAGTATTCCATGTGAGATGGTTCACCGCCTTGCCATAGATAAGGGGAAAAGATTGAGGTGAGCGTGGGTTGAAGTTGCATGATGATTTGATGTTTTCTTATTTTTCGACAAGAAAAGGGGGGGGAAACCCTGGGGCAACGGGGTTTACCGATCTGCGATCCCCAGGGAACCGGTCCTCCCACCGGCCCAAGAGATTTGGGTCTTGGCCTCCCCACTTTCTCAACACCTTTCAAGAGCCGAGCGTTTGTGCACACGCAGTTACCTTCTCTCTTTCGTGCTACCCTAATAACTCGTCAGATTGGGGAACACCTTGGCAAGACTTAATCGCCCAGAACGCCTAACTGATTGTAGGTTAACAAGCGTTTTGGCTTCCAAAACAGAAGTTAACACCATCTTTTTTTGCTTTTTTGGTCAGCATCTGACTTTGCAAGGACCTCTCGTCTTGATACGGAGATTAGAACCCCGCACGGAGATATGAGTGAGGGAATCTGTTAACTGGGATAGAAAAGGATACAATATTATTTGGCCGGTTAACCTTAAATAATTGTACCATGACTCCCCCGCCTGGTCCCGTGCGAAATATGAACGACCCCATCTTGCCCACGGGCGAGAAGGCTTTCGGGGTTAGGGAACGTGCAGTGCTTCGGGTAAGTCCTGTACGCGGATCCGGCACGTTTCTGCGACTGACCAACGAAAAACCAATGGGTCGGGTTGAAAACGCTTTTAAGTTTTCTTGGTGACGCTGAGAGAGTACGTGCTGGTATGATTTACGGTAGTGGGGTTATCCCGATATTGCTTTTCCCGAGTGAAATCACCGAAGGATAGATTTGACTGCCGGTGCGATGGATGTGTGGATAGTCTACTCGAGTATGACAGATGGTTGGGTTGGATGGGTGATGGTGCTAGATCTTGTTTGGTGGATGGTTGGGTCTTGGTGGGGGGGAGGTAAGGTTGTGAAGGAGATAAGGCCATGTTTACGAAACCTAAATATCGTTTTCAACCATTTCGCCCTTTCCCTTTTTTTAATTGGTAGACTAGCTACTCCCAGCAGGCACACTAGCCGTGATATTTAAGATGGCCTCCCCTCCCCCCTTGAAGTCGCCCATTCACAATACACCCATCAATCCATATATATATAGACAATTCTATGGCCGATACGCCCTTAACAATTTCCACGATCCTCTCCGAAGACCTCCTCCTCTCTATCGCGCCCTACTTACACCCCAAGGATATATCTGCGCTATCCCTCACCAACAAACTCATCAACAATTTACTCACCAGTGCGCAAGGGGTATACAGACATATCGACTTTTCACCAGAGAAGAAAAAGTTCCAAAATGCTCAAAAGTTGGTTAGCCCGACAATCCTATCGGCCACACGAACGTTGGTCCTCGACTTCACCCTCGTGGCGATCCCTCAGCTGGAGTCAATCCTCTATTCATCAAACATTACCCTCCTCTCCATCCGAGGATGTAAGGGAATTGATGAACGTGCACTTATGGCCCACCTCTCGCCCGAGCGCGGCACCAAACTGAAGGGAATCTACTACTTCACTGACCCCGCCCCAACCACCAGCCGTTTCGTACAAAAGTCCGTGACAAAATTCCCCAACGAATGGGCGTTGGTGATTTCCAACTGTAAGGATATCTGCTTTGACACGAGGGTCTGTCGAGGGTTAAAGCATCAAACCGATGAGGTCGGTCACATTGAGCCCCGCATCTCTGATGTTAAGCTAGAGGGTGGATGCTCTGGCTGTGGGGTTAATCTAACCAGCGAGGGATTGCCGAATGTACTTGTCGCTCCAGCGCCGTTGCACTCATCGACTATCAGGGTGGCGTGTAAAGGTATAGATGGAAAACCCATTGCAGACGTGCTTCGCTGCGAAATGTGTGTTCGTGAGCGGTGGTGTGAAGGGTGCGGGAAATGGTGGTGTGAGAGTTGCGCCGTGGACAAGGTGATTAGCCCCTCCTTCTTCCCCCCCTACGCATTCATAATATCATGACCCCGCTTTTCAAAGAAAAATAAAGCTCACTGATCGTAGAAACACGTTACCAGACCATGCCTCGAGTGCGGGTTTCAGTGTGGGGAATGCATCGCCGCAGTGACCCTTTTCTGCCAAAGCTGCAAGAGTGGATACTGCACCACGCAGTAATTCTCCCCCTTCTATTATCGAATCCGCAACATCCCACTAATCATGGAAATAGCAACGAAGGCGCAGACGACATCCAGTGTGAATGGTGCAAAGCTTCATCTGCTCGACGGGGCGCTTCCGCCACCGCCTCGAACGCCTTCTTGACCTCCGCTGCGGCGTCTCACTATGCCATGCTCCGGCTAACCCGGCCGGGGAACACATTCGTTAAGTCTCCCGCGGGGGCAAGCTATAAGGGGGGTATAGGTGGGAGAAATTTCCAGAATGAGACGATTGCCCGGCGGAGGGCTCTCATGAATAATTAATTATGACGGTTGCGGGCGTTTTTGGATAGCTATTCTGTTGGGATGGGAGCCTGTTTTTGTGGACATGATGTAAATATCTCTACTCCTCACTACCCTTTTTAGTTATTATTTCATTATCACTCTACCCTCTCTTCCGTCAACTGCGATATAAATATAAATTATTCATTTCTATATTTCTCTATTTTTTGGGTATTGCGAGATATATAGTACGAGCACAGTACTGCACATAGGATAGATACGGCGGATAAGGTTAAGATAGGGTGTGTTATCTTGTTGGCGAGCGCACCGCATATCGAGCATACTCGAGTTTTCTTTCTGATACCATGTTCACGCTTGCTTGCCGCCAGAACCGTATTCTGAATCGCGTATCACAGCACGATCGTCGAGTTTCATAGCCACTGGAGTTATCCATTCTCTCAAGCCGGACCGAGGGATTTTGACTTCAACTCAATCCATCATCATAATATCAACGACACCTCGCACCATGGATTTATGTTTTCTATCAGTCCACCGATTCCTCAAGCCAAGGATATAGGGGAGGAAGGGATTTCCCCCACTCTTGTTACTCGAGTATCGTACGGTACCAACTTTCTAAAAAAAGTAAAAAAGGGCGGAGGGCGGGGAAAAGCAAGCAACAAAGTCACCTTCCTGGCACCGCAGATCTAGACCAGTCTTGGCAATATTCTTTTTTGAGCCTCCACGCAACCCAGATTAACTTGCCCGCACTCTCCTAAACCATCGCCACGATTACTATCCTCCCCAGTTTCTTCTCTTCCACTACTGTAACAACAATGCCCCTCCCATTCTTCTCCCGTTTCTTCCTCCCCATACTCTTCCTGCTCATAAACTTAGCAGCAGCGTCCGGCCCAGCAAACATATTTTGCAAATGCACCTGCGGCAATAACTCAACCCTAATCCCAATCACCTCCCCGCCCAGCTGCTCGGAATGTAATCGCCAATTCTGCCTGAAGCAGCACTTGCCTATCTGTCGCGATGTGGGGGAAGACGGTATTTTTACCACCTGTTTTCGTAAGTACGCGCTGTTATGCTTGTCTAAGGGGCGGGTATGTAAGGTGGCAAGGGGGGCTAATTCCGGTGTTTTTAGAGAGGGATTCCGCGAAGGATCGGGCGGTGGTGTTTATTTTCATTGTGGCTACGGTGGGATTGTTGGGGTATGCTGGGCTGAAGGGGTGGGTTGGGGAAGCTATTAAGGTTTGTGGGTCCCTTTGCTTGATAGTGGCGGGGGTGGGAGGGCTAATTGGTGGGGGGAGTGTAGAAGTGGAGAGATAGGACAGCTAGGGAAAGGTATGAGGCTTTGCCTGGTGCTTAGGGTTTATCTACGGTTTTTATTTGCGGTTTCTACGGTTGCTATGGCATGTGGTGTATGAGTGGGTGGATGGATGTGGGCTGGTGGCCGGGTTGTAGGATACTGTTTTAGTTTGGGGGTGCGCGGCCTAAGTTCGGATATTTAAGTGTTTGTGAATTGGAGTATTGGGAAGTAATGACTGGATGAAGAATACTGAATGGAGTTATGCTGTGTTTTGAGTTGCTTAGAGGGTTGGTAGTAATGATATGTTGTCTCATGGTCTCTGGGTTTGACATCCGTCATCCTTGTGCGGAGAATTGCTCAACATTTCACGTCCTCGTTTCTTGAGGGGGAATGCATTGCGGATCTCCCGGGCCAGTATCATACCAAGCTGTACGGTCATTAGTCTAATAGCTAGGAGCCCGAACATCTCCCAAAATGCACTAAACTAACTACCGTAGACCATCAATTTGAAGGGGACGCTGATTCGCCAGCTCCCCTAGTTAAGTTCGCTACCGGTACTCCAGAAATAAATGCGCAAACTGCGACAGCAACCGCTTAATTCGATACCGGTATATTATCCCGGCCGCACCTATCCGGCGTCCACAGCAGTCAGCCTAACCCACATGACACGCACGGTACAGTACAGGCAGTGATAGCGGTGGCCACCGGCAGCAGTGTGTCGTTGTGAGCGCGCTCCAGATGGGCACAGGAGCTTAGGAAGACGTCGAATGTCAATGGGCCAATTGTGAAGAGTCTGGTGGGTGTTTTATTAGGAGGTGGGTGTCTCGCCATTGGCAATTAATACCATGGCCTCTGGAGGTGTCGGCATAACGCCGATACCGACCCGACCAGTGTTTCTTCAATTCTGTGGGGGATTCTGGGCCGTGAAGAACGAAGTCCGGGTTCCTTTTAGCGGTGCGGTGATTGCTTACATTGGGGCTATGTACGGTACACCTTTTCCTATCCCTTCCCTCCCTTTCCGTTCCTTCTCTTCTCTCCGCTAGTGGGGATCTCGAAGCGGGTGTTCTCGATCGAATAACCCGGAGCGAAATATCGGCTTCCGGGTATTGGTATTGGGGGATCAGTCCTGGGGTTACGTCGGAAAAGTTCTTGCCCGCGTGGTGAACGGGGTCGGGGGCTATGAAGAGGCTTGCGTTCAACGGCAGGATCTACGATGCCTGGGGGGTGTGATTTTCGATTTTCGATCGGGCGGCTTGTAAGGTTTTGAATCGTTCCGGGGAAGGAGCTTTCCTATTTGATTTTCTACTGTGGGGAACGGCATTCAGACCGTGAAAATTTCCTATGCACTACCGGTGTAGTACCTCGCTGTACAAGTATTGTGCTCGGGTATGGAGGAAAGTGGTGGGATAGACAGGGGTTTAAGATGTCGAGGCTTCTTGCCCTTCCCCTTCCTGGAGTTATTCCTACTGAATTGGACGATTTTTTGCCTCTGGCGGTGTTGGGCACCCCGAGTCACAACCTCTGACAATCTTATCACGAACCTCCATACTCGGGTAATGCTGTGAGGTCAATGCCGGGCCGGAAGTGCCTTTGCTAGTTAGCTGGGTTTATGCATGAACTTAATCTTGATAGAGAGTCTTGTGATTGAGGAAACACCCGATTAGCAGGTGATTATCTCGCGGGAAGTCGGTTCAATCAGCATCTGTCCGAGTGGTCCACATTCTGCTTCTCCGCCAAGAGTTCACATCCCTATCCGTCGTATGATAGGAAGTAGCGCACCAAATCGAGACCTTTGCAGCAGAGTTGGATAGATAGCCTGGGATATTTCTCTCTGTTGAAGAGTTTTGGGTGCTCTAGCTTCGGAATGTTCGGAGGATTCTAGGGTCCTCTTGCTTTTGTTGTGATCAGTGGAATATGTTTCTCGACTCCACAGCAAAGGGCTAAGACTGGCAATTTTCCTTAATGCCAATCAAGAGTAGGTACTCTCAAGTATGTCTTACGATGACAAGCAGGAGTGCCTAATCTTGGCGGAGAAAAGACGGGCGTGATAGGAAGTTTTTGTTGAGGGATCAATTTGCTGTTAACTGGGTTGCCGGAGGCGCAAAACCGGTCTGGACTGGGTCCGGCTCCTAGCCCGGATCTGAAGGTTAATTGGAAACCCAGGGAGGATAATTTAGATCCAATATCGGTACTCGCTCGCGAATGGTTCTTCGCGCTGTGAAAGTGTGATCTGGTTTGTATGCTTTCGAGGCGAATCTCTCAGGTCAAGTTCTCTTTGGAGTATCTTCTGACGGTGATTGTTTCATTTGCTTCCCCGTGGGGCCTTTATATTTCCTAGGAGGAATTGACAATTGTGGGACCAATAGATAAGTAAAGTAGAGCGGCTGATCCATAGGGAGAATACAATGAGCTTTGGTAAAGTACTCTCGTATTAGGATTTTACTTTTATACGGAAGTCTGGTATAATAGGTCCTGACGAAAATACCACCCCAAGAGCAAGCCCTGTCCCTCTCGCCTATCTCAAAAACCTTTTTTTCTTTCCTCAGTGTGCTTTCGATATCGGGATGGCGATACCATTGTCTGCGTAAGGTTGTATTAGCATTAGCAATTAGTATGGTTCACGGTTCACACTATGGCAAACCACTGGGGGCGAGAGCAAAAATATTACAGCAGTCAATAAACTGCCGGATCTCTGATACAAGTACCGTACTCATTGTCCATAGAAAATGAACCTTTTATTTTATTTTTCCCGCATCCTTCTGGCACCCGCGATCATTGGTCATCCACGAATGAAGCCATGAAGCCCAGGTCGTATAGAAGCCCGAGCACGGCACCACTGCGCTACCGGCCAATTTGCCGGTGGGCTGAAAGACGCTAACGGGCCGCCCTGCATCCATCCATCCATCAGGTTGGCGTCCTTTATCTGACCTCACGTCCAGCAGACCTGTGCCTAAAACCACACAACCCCTTATCCTCAAAGTCAAACGCCCTTCTACCTCGGGTACCCTGGATCACCGGTACCAGCTTATCACATCTACAGCAGTCCTGTCCTAGTTTGTGCCGGTATCTGTTAGTTTCGGCATGCTAACATACGGGTAGGCGGTATTCAGCGGGTATGTTAATACCGGAGACAAGTCCCCTGCTGCCCGAATGGAGCGTAGTGAGAGGGGGGAGGGAGGCCCGAGGATAGCTGACAATATGGGCCGGTGCGATAGAGTCTTTAACGAAAAGTTTCGCCTCGGACCCGGCTGTTTTTCCGAGGAAGCCCTTGGGTCTGGAATTTCTACCCCTCCCCCCCTATTCACTGTGGTTTATCCGAGGGGGTTATGGAGTGCCTAGCGCCCTAAATGCATCGTTATTAATAGCGGGTTAGTTGCCGAGACCAATGATTTCGTTCACATGGGCCCAGTTAACGTGATGCCGAGATGTTCCAGTACAAGTACGATACTTGCACTACAGGTTTGGGAAGACTTGAAAAAAATTTTTAATCAAATCTGCTGACAGGACATTAGGCAAAAGGGATTTCCCCTGTATCTGGTGCCCGCTTTCGTCGCGGCCAATAATGCGTTTCCTCTGATCTCGCACTAGTTAGGGGGTATGCTGCTAGAAAGGATGTCCCTGCTCACGGCTGATGTGCAGCGTTAAATTTGACTACAACATAGCGGATATCAGCATTGTTTGGGGCGAACTGTGCCCTCTTGCCTATTTGTTTTTCTCTGGGAGAATCGGTTGTCTCCTGTGATTGGGAAGGTCTTTAGCAACAAACCTTCCACCGTACGTCCAACAAAAACACAAATCCAGCGCGGGAAGGGGCGGCAGACGGTTTCGTGGGCCTGATGGTTGCTTACTGGCCTTCATTCATACAGATTCCCCCTTTCTCGAGTGATGAGATGTGAAGGTAAGCACGGAGATGCTCCTCTGAGCTTCGGGGCACAGCGAGGGAACCTCTCCTTCGAAGCGACCATCCTAAGCGCATTCCCCGCCTCCTCATTGCGGTATCCTCACTTCTCCTGAGCGGTTTGTGTGGGTGTCGTGCCCGCTGCCGACAGCATAAACTTCGTCGCACAGAGTGAATTTTGATTGCTGAAGCATTTGAAAGACACGGCGAGATCTGGGGCTGGCTGTCAACAGGGTTCCTAGACTGTTTCCGATTTGCCCGCGAATCTAAACACGCAAGTGACGCAACTGCTCGAGTACGGTAGCTGATGCCGCCTGGCTAAATCATGCTCCCTCTGAAACCCGAAACAGCGGTAATAACCAGTTCGCTTGGATACCGGTATAAGCCCTAACTCAGGACACAAGACCTTCATATACTGTGGGGCTGTGGTGCTAATGTTTGGAAAGCGGAGGCTGTTGTGGGCACCCGATCAGAGTTTATAATATCAGTCAACACCCCTACCCCAAATATATTTTATCCCTGTCACGTTACCAGCCATATTCGGAAGTTGTCGACCATTTCTTTCCTCCCCTTCTTTCAAATTCCCCTCCCGCCAATATCTGAGTCCTTGAAGCCAAACTCGTATCACTCCGCCAAAAACCTCAACCGAAAACGCATCTCCGATAGCGACTCCTCGAAGACGCTCCCATATTGGCATTAGACCTCTTCCGTGAACGAAAAGAATTAATTCCGATAGTGGAGGGTTCCCGCTGGCTCGCTATCGGAGAGAGTTCACGGCAAGGATTCCAGGGGAGCGATACGGATCTGTCCCATGGTCGAGTATTGTGGGGTAATGGCGGAATTTTAGTGTTGAAGAAAAGGCCACATGGTGTCTCGTACAAATTCAGCTTGTTGGCCTTTTAAACCTTCCGCCGAAATTTTCACTATCTGTAATCGGTTCAGTTGATTGAGCTGCGGGGCGGTGGGACCACTAGGGGTAATGCAGGGCTGTGCCACAGAGCTAGCAGTCTGGCGGTGAGAAATTCGAACCATCGAATCCATCCCAGCGAGGAAAGGGGGGGATATGAAGGAATTTATACTCACGAAATCATAAAGCTTATTTGGGGTTCGCTCATCCGGTGAGGTGCGGGTGGCCGATCATGATTGGTGTGCCCTTCTGGCGGCTACGCACCGCCTCAGGCATAGTTGGGCGACAGATCGTACTCATAGCTGGCAAGGAGTATCCGAAAGCAGGGATTCACAAAATCTATGGCAAAAAATCCGTGCCTACTTGAGCGCCCATACAAATTCTCTACCCCTGTTTTTGGATACTGCTTACCTACTACGAGTATCCCGGGAATTGCGTCCACAAGTCAAATTCTGGTACCCGGGAACTCATCATAACGTATCACTCGAGCAGCCCCTCCATTGGCTAGAGAGCCAGGCCCCATGCCCCCTACAAGTAACCGATCATGCAGTCTGCGGATATCTCAAGTTTACCAACTTTCTCTCTAAAGTAATTAATATTACAAATCCCCGAGATTCCAATCGTCACATGTAAAGTAGGTGGGGCGCTAGAGCGCTAGAGTCTGACTACAAAATATGCCGTCGACTTCTCTGGACATTATAGCGTTCTGCGTCGCAAGGCGGACAGCATCTAATATTGGTCGGTGTCTTCAGCCTGGTGATCCATCGATAGCAGGTGATTAACCTGAGGCTTTTTTCGTTCTCATCGAAAACCTGACCTCTCGGAGAGTTAATTTAACTTACAGCCTCCTGCAGGAACGCTTAATATCCCATGTTATCATAACCTCACAAGGGGTGTTGCGTTCTCGACATACCCCCCTCCCTCCAACAACCTAAGCACGGGAGCACAAACGCCTTACGCGGGACGAGGTGGCACACTTCTTCACTTGTACTCGTATAAGTACTCGTGCAAAATACCTTAACCCCAGATCAGAATTTGTCACCGGCTGTTCCACAGTCCTCAGACCTCTCCAATAAATCCTCTCCCGAAGGACACGATGCGAATATCCATTGACCTAAATATAGCCCTCTCCCTATCCAGTCCAACTACCGGCCCGCGCTCATAGCTCCGAGTTATCGGACTTAGCTGGGAACCGAGGGACCCAGACAACGCAGGTTACCGAGCCGTCCGTTCCTTCACCGGAACGTGAACCCAGTTACCATACAAGCACAGTTCTATACCTGCACTAGCCGACATGCAGGAAGCAAAAAAAAAGGATGAAAAAAGGGCCATTTTCCTGGCAAATGATATGATACATCATTTCCGACCTTCCCCTGACCCGTTACTTTCCGTCCAAATTTCGTTTCGTTTCACTTTCTTGCGTTCAGCCAAGAAGGAACCTGCACTTTGTTGAGCTGTATTACCAAGGTGAAACCTTTTTTCCTTTTTCCTTTCTGTTGCCTTACTTGTCATATTCAACAAGCATGCGGGGGTTTCGGGTAGTTGCTTGTCACGGTATGTCACTCGATATTTATCGCAATCTGCAGGCTGCTGAAGATGGAGGGGGGTGGGTGGGTGTCGATGTGGTGTGGGTGGAAGGGAGGATGGAGTTTGGGGGTCTATGCAGCGTACATTCCGGCTTACTTATTAGAGGTTGATTTTGCTCCGGCAGTGGCCCATGGACGGAATATTTTCTTTACTCAAGTATGATAGTAGAGAATTAATAGTGGGCGGGGGGCAGTTGGGGGCGGCATTGGTGGTCGAGGAGGTAGGGTCGATGGAGTTTGCCCCGATTCCGTGTTTGAGAGTAATACTCCTGGTTGGGTTGGCGGGGGATCGAGAGCCACGTGAGGGCTTCATGAATAGTCACCCGGTGGAAGAATTTTGTTGTGGTGAAAGCTAAAATCTAGTATGTCGGGCTTGGGTGAAAAGTGGTTGGCGGTTCAAGAGTTTTTGGCGGACCAATGGTGTTAGTGTCCGTAGCCTTCGCGGAGTATTAGAAATGGGCTTTTAGTTAAGGTGCGGCGTACTTTCACAAATCTCACTTCCAAACCATCTTCAATTCTCCATTTAGCCCGCTTGAAATGGCCAGCGACCGATTCATTGTCTGTAGCACATTTTCTCGCGATATTCCTCCGGGAGACGGTTAGGTTAGTCTTGGCGTCTTTTGGGGTTCTACAAACAATATAACGGGAGGAGGTATTTATTTACTGCTTTTAATCGTAGGAATATTGAGTTGACCAATATTGCAATCCATTGCAAGCTGTAACCCCCCACGAGAAAGTTCCATACATTTCCCTCCCACTGGGCGACAATCTTCACCCCTCTGCACCAACACCGCCTACACAGCTACTAAACGCTCCCCTCCTCCGTAGTTCCTCCTCCAAAAACTTCACAATGGACTTATGTCTATCAAACCCCGCACTCCTAGCACTCCCCTTCCTAGCTACATCCAGCGGAGTCTGCCCATCATTATCAAAACTCGATGCGTCCGCGCCCAACCGCAGTAGCAGCTCGACGCCATGCTTCCTGCCTCCGCCCGCCGCAACATGCAATGGGGTCCAGCCCAGGTTATCCGCGGCGGATACGTCTGCGCCGTTATTTGTTAGGAGCACGAATATCTCCTCCGTCGGCCCATCCAACTCAAACGCACTCGTGGGCGCGCTTGTGTCCACCAGGTGGTGAACCGGCGTCCGCCCCAGATTATTACGTGTGCGAACGTCGGCACCTTTTTCGATCAACAGGCGTGCGGGCTCGATGTTGTTCCACCAGACCGCGACGTGGAGCGGTGTTTGCCCGTCCATGTCTCGGCTGGTGATGTCCGATCCCTTGTCGATGAGGGTGCGGGCGATCTCGATGTTGTCTCTCTTGACGGCCATGTGGAGGGGTGTTTGGCCCTTGTTGTCTTGGAGTGAGAGGTCTGCGTCTTTTTCCAGTAGTGCGTGAAATATGTCTGTGATTTCTCGCTTGACGGTTATGTGCAGTGGTGTGTAGCCCATGTTGTCTTGGATTGTGGTGTCGGCTCCTTCCTCCAGGAGTAGATGGGCGATTTCTCGGTATCTTCTGTCGATGGCCCAGTGCAATGGCGTTTGGCCTATCTTGTCCCGGGCGGAGACGTCGGATCCATTGCTGATCAGGGTGCGGACGACCTCGATATTCTCTGCATTCACCGCGAGGTGCAGTGCTGTTCGGCCTTCGGTGTCTGGTATAGAAGTATCTGCTCCTTTCGTAATCAGGGTGCGGGCGACCTCTGGGAGATCTCTCTTGACTGCAATATGTAAAAGTGTCTGCCCCATATTGTCCTGAATAAAGATGCCTGACCCGCCCCTCTCGATCAGGAAACTGGCGACAGCAGTGTCCTTCCTATCAAGCGCAGTATGTAGCGCTGTCTGTCGCACATTATTCAAGGTGGAAAGCCCGGCTCCCCTGTCAATCAGGATTCCGGCAATTCGCGCATCGGAGGTGATGTGCAGTGGTGTGTTCCCTAAATAGTCTGGGGTGGAAACGTCGGCTCCCCCGTCGATGAGAAAAGCAATAATGTCAGGACAATTCCACCGGGCAGCCATATACAATGGTGTGTGGCCCTTGTTGTCCAGAACATGACCGGAAATACCCGCTCCTTTCTGGATCAGGGCTCGGCATATCTCGATTTTTTCCTGGCTGAACGCGATGTCCAGCGGTGTCAGCCCGCCGGCGTCAGGGATGGAGATGTCTGCTCCTGCGTCGAGTAAAACGCGGCAGGTTGGGAGACTACGCTGACGAATTGCCGTGTGCAGTGGTGTTTGCCCTTTCTTGTCCCCGGTGGACAGGTCTGCGCCTTTACGGGCCAGGATGCGGACAATATCAGTGTTCCCTCTGAGGACTGCCTTGTGCATTGGCGTCTGCCCCTTGGTATCTCGGGAGGAAATGTGCGCCCCGCTTTCGAGCAGCAGAGAAATAATGGCTCGAGAATCTTTGCCCGGTGTCCCCATCATCCGGAGGAAGGAAGAAAAGTCTTTGTGTCCATAGCTTGGTCGTTCTGCGGCAGCCCAATGCAATGGAGTTTCCCCACTCTTATCAGCGGCAGATACGTTGACCCCTTTGAGAAGTAGAACTTCTGCTAACTCTGTACTGCGGTGCAGAACTGCCCAGTGCAGGGGAGTTGTCCCATTTATGTCGGTGATAGAGGGATCTTGCCCTTCTTGCAAGAATTGGAGACCGAATTCCGGGTAGTTGTGTTTTGCCGCTAGATAGAGAGCCGTCTCCATGCTGCTAGTTATTGCCCCCGTGCTATATTCCTTTCTGGCTAAGAACAAAGGGAGTAACTTGTGGAACCCAAAGTCACCCTTATTATCCTCAATGATGCCACTGCTCTTTGCGCCTCTATCGAGCAGCATTCTGACAGTGGTTGCGTTTCTGGAAGAAACAGCATAATTCATCGCTGTCCATCCACGATTATCCGCGAGTTCAAGGCCTATCCCTTTTTCTAGCAATAATTCGACGGCGTCCAAATGCCCACCTTCTGCGGCGAAATGCAACGGAATCTTGCCTTTTTTGTCCCGCTCTAATAGGGTTGCTCCATTATCCAGTAGACAGCGAAGTACCTTTACATGCCCCGCACGGGCTGCAATGGATCCCGGAGTCCGTCCTAGGGAATCCACCGAAGAGTGATATGCTCCACGATCCAGCAATAACTGGACTACCTCCGGCCTTCCTCCATAAGCCGCCCAATGCACCTCAGTAGAGTGCATCTTATCCTCTTCCGATGGTTCTCCATCTCTTTCATCGAGTAAGGCTTCCACAACCGGTAGATATCCGATCATTGACCCCACACATAGCGGGGTAATTCCTTTCGGGATTCCACGGCCAGTGGTAATCCACGATATGACTTCAACGTACATCGCCAAGGACTTTCGACTCTTGAGGAATTGCAGAGTCATCGCGGTCAGTTGCTCGTCCGGCTCATTACAGCACAAATGGTACGAGATGTTAGACACGGCGTACCGCAGAAAGGCAAAAGGGGTACGACCCCAAACCGAGCATTTCAACTTGCCCATATCGCCCGGGATGTGGGAAAGTGATAGATACGCGAGACAGAAGATCGCAGTTCTCATATTCGCCTCTTTCAGAATGGGCGATACCTTCTCGTCGACGAGGTATTGCTTGATCGTGTAGTGCGCTAATCCGATCGTTCGACTGTGATGATCGATCTCGACCAAGCCTCCGCATATATCGACCAGCGTTTCCGCGCTCGTGACGTTCAGGGGATCGAGCTCCGATTCCCCGGGAATCACTGCCAGGGCGTCCTGAAGTTCGTTGATGCGAAGGGGAGTCGTGGCGCGCGACAGCAGCGCGAGCGCGTCCAATGCGAGGCCGTCGTTCTCGTCTCGCGCTCTAATGCCGTCCACGACTCTCTTGTAGCATTGCTCCAGGGCGTCGACTCTGCTCGAGGGATTTTTCAGGGTCTCTATTGCGTCCAGGAGTTTCCTCGCGTTGATCTTCTGGCTAAGGAAGTCGAAATGGAACTTGGCAAGTAGGAACCTACATGCGCCGATCAACAAGCGCTTCGAAAAGAAGTGTTGGAGAATCTACGCACATTTCTCCGGCACTATTTCTGATTTCGGGGATTATCTTGTCTTTGTATCGCACCATTAGTGGGGGAGTTTTTGTCGTCCTAAGCGGTCTGGTCTGTTCAATCCTTGCCTCGAGATATGCACTTATGTCCTCCGGATGAGCTGAGAGTTTTACTTCAATAGCATCTGTCAGTACATCTTTGAGATCCGCCAATGGCCGACTTATTATGAACAGGAATACTTTCTCTCCTAAGGTTTTCATCCATAGAAGCAGAGAGAGAATCTGTGTTCGAAGGCCTTCCTCGCACTCGTCTATAGCATCAAAAACGAGGAAGATGCCAGGGAAAAGACTGACCACACCACTCAACACGCTGCGTAGTTGATCCTGCGAAGCTTTCTTATCAGGAGCGAGCTTGCTGTGTAAGTCATTGACGATTTCGGGAAATGGAGTCTTTGGCGGCAACTTGCATAGGAGTTGTTTCACTATGCTGGCCACTATACGGGCAGGACTTTGTTGGTCTTGGTAGTTAAAATATATGTATGCTACGCCACTTTCGGTAACATCTTCTAGATGGTCAATCACCAGCGAACTTTAAGGGAGCTCATCAGTTTTTTGGGACACCAAAATTTGGGAATATCAAGAGAACCTCAAGAAAGTTTTTCCCGCCCCGGCTAATTATTATTACACATGGTGCTTTGTCAGCTAAAATTACTGATTCCGGAGACGGTTTCACCTTACCTATTCCTAACCCGAGCAGTATACGAGAGGAGGATACACCCTTTTTCCAGTCAACAAACGCTTCGCTTCTTAACAGCCATTCTCCTGTCCCCTCTTGCCTGTTTTCTTGGATTAGTTGGTGTTTTTCCTTGAAGTCGTCTGAATGAAGCCATTTAAGGACCTCCCGACGCTTTTTTCCTAGGTTGTCACGTTTAGTTTGTGGCAATTTCGCGATGCTAGATTAGTGCCCTACCAGCCTTGCGATACTCCAGCGAATCGGTAATTTCTTCGGTGGCGTTATGTATTTGTGAAAGGTTTGAATCTATGTTCTGAGCCAATTGAAGAATTTCATGCGACGCACTCCTTTAATGACGTGTTAGAAAGAAAGCCCAGATCATCTGGCCAGAATCGGTATGAAGTGAAATCGCATTGATGCACCCACGCCTAGGAAAAGGTGCGCCACTGCAAATCTGAACAAGGGTGTTGCCGCCGAAAAACATTGACATTTCCGTTGACTTACAAACTATCAGCCTGAAGACCCAGCAAAATTGTGCTCTTCATCCTCTGGATTCCAAGGAGATGTTTGGTTGTCTCGAACTCGGACAGAGGCCATGTGAACCTCCCGATCTTTCCGTGGAACCCTCTCGCTTCGATCCTCTTTTGCAGTTCATCCGCTAGCGATTGAAGCTCCCCCTGACACATCTCGATGACACCCCCCGGCTTCGAGAATTCCTGGAGCAGTGGAATAGGCTGTGACCTCAGTGAGAGGACCCGCAACTGATAGAGGACCGGGT